ATATAATGTGGCGGAGATGTTTGTCTTCAGCTACGGAGTTGTCGTGTTTTGGAATTTCACCGAGAAGCAAGAGAAGGATCTGCTGGCTGATTTGGCGTTTGCGACGTCGTCCGCAACGGGATCACCTATCCCACTTGCTACCATGCCATTGCAAGAGGAGGATTTTGAAACAGAGGAGTTCCATTTCGAATATTCGACCGAAATCAAACGCCCGCGTGTCTACAACGACATGATCACTCTGCGCAGTGGCGACCACATGATCAAGCTAGCTATCAGTCATGGCATCGCTCAAAGTACCAAGCTCTGCTTCTTTGAGGAAGTTATGGCTCGTCAGATGGCCGAGGCCAAGGACGTCCCTCGCCGACTTGCCATGACCGGCAACCTAGGAATGAAGCGAGACGAAGTATTCCGGATTCTAGGAAGTCTGTTCAAGAGTCGTGTGGAAGTGAACCTCTGTAAGTGACCCCTCGCACCATAAAGCTGGATAACCCTTCTAATCCTCACAGCATCCAATATGCTCGACATCCCCAACTTCTTCTGGGAAAGCGAGCCTACTCTCTACCCACTCTACATTGCCGTTCGCGAATACCTGGAAATTAAGCCCCGAATCCAAGTACTCAACGAACGCTGCCGTGTCTTCCTTGACCTGGCTGAAATTCTCTCCGATTCGATCGCCGACAACAGAACCTCGCGTATGCCATCCCCCTATCATGAAATGTATAACCAAACTAACACCCACAGATCAAACCTGGATCATCATCGTCCTCATCATCATCTCCATCCTTGTCACCACCTCCGAAGTCTTCCTCCGCTTCGGCCTCCTCTCCGCCCGCGAGAACGACGCATCCTCAACAATCACTACCATCCTCTCCCGAGCCCTCGGACATACTTCACCCGCACCCGTATGCTCATGCCCAGCACCTGCTGTTCCTGGAGTTCCAGCAGGCATGGGAGCATTGAATACCACCGGCTTGCCGTATTGATTATACCATAACCCTACAATACTTAATACCCACTCACACTTTCTCACCACACACACACATTACAATTACATTCACAATAGCAGGCTGGATCACACCATCCATACGGCAACTCTCGTAAGCATTACGCAATCCACATACTCATTTCATACTTCCACTTTCAAAGCGATGTTATCCCTTTCAGTCATTCAATCAAAGTCAGATTAGCTAAACAGAGACTGGATATATCCATCCCCCTTCATTCACTGTACCTATTACACCTCCCACTAGTTAATCAATCACCCAACCAAACTAGCAACCACAATACCATAACATTCTCCCCAAAAAAAACTCATCGAGATCTCTGTTCAAGAAAAATAAGCGGTGCTGCGTTGGCACTATCCAATCGTAACCTCAGGCAGAGAGAGATATCTCCAATCTATCTCACTTGGTGCCTAAGGCCAGAGGAATGAATAACATATACCAGCCTAAGGCATCTATGAGCTCATAGCCGGAGCGCGAGACGAGGCAGCTAGGGAGGTACGTCATCAACCGGGAAGAACCTTGCTAGTGGGTGTTTCAGGTTAAATGAGCTCCTTGAGCTCTAGTTGATGAGGGCTCGGATGTTGGGTAGGAAATGAGCAAGTCACGCTATTTAGTTCGTGTCAATCAGGTGAGAGTTTGGAAGGTGGTTCCGAGGTAATTTTTTTTTTTTTTTTTTTTTTTTTTTTTTTTCCTGCTGGAATGTCTACTGCAGTGAATAAGTGCGTCTTCAGTAGCGATCGATGTACATTTAGTAGTGTAAGTAGTATACTATAGTAGTAGTAGGTTAAGTCTATCATACATGACAAAAAACAGGTTCATCTACACCTGGGTAATAAATAGTAAGGGTAAGAGGCCGTCAAGGGATTATCACACAAAGGAAAATAAGGAAACAACGAATAGAACAACACGATGATGCGGGGGGTACAAGAGGAAAAAGAATAGGTATAGAACATATGCACAGATGATGATGGAATAATAAGCATAAACCAGACCAAGACCCCGAATTCCCAAACCCCATTCCGACCGAGCCATGACACCTTTTCCACCTCTCTATATTTTATGCTTCGTCCTGGTGGTCGTATCGCACATTAGACACAAAAGGAACAACAGAATGGAACAGAGCGGACAACTCGGATCCTGCGCACGCGACAAATCAGCTAGCCCGGACTCCTTCCAGCGCTGGTGACCCACACTGGGAAATGCAAAGATGACGGTATATCAAATATCCAAAAGATGTATGCCATGATGTAGAACACGAGGAATGAACAGTGCTGAAACAGACCGATATAACAAAGGAAATAAACAGAAATTAACAAAGGAAATATCTTATATCCGCCTAGCATCTTCAGAGTATACTAGACGTTATGCTAAATGGCGTAGTAGGACAGCAACTCTCCATTAGCGGCCCTGCCGTCTGCTGGAGAGTTTGGTCCACTACCCAGATTTAGACCGGAGTCGACCAGGCGCTCTCCATCTTGTGCTTCAGATCATAGCCATCCGGTTCAGTGCTCGTGGGCCGCCGGATGGTCGAGTTGGGGAAGTACATGTGAGGGGGCATGGCGCTCGGATATGCGGGCCCGCTAGTTTCAGGATAGAAGTCGGTTGCCGAGCCAGGCGACGGGATGCTGGCATGCGAAGGGGAAGGCCAACCGAGGCTGGTCATGTGCGGGCTTCCGCTAACGCTATTGGGCCGGTGGTCGTTGTTGGCGGGCGGCTCAAGAGGCTGCGGAGGACCGTATCCAGATGGATGAGAAGTCATCGAGGGACGGGGATGCGGAGCGCTACCATAACTGGACAAAGATGGGGACGTGGCGGTCGGGGAAGCCCGGGGACTGGCCTGCGTAAAACCGCCGCGAACATGGGGCGGAATCGATCCGTTCGGCATGTAGTAGTCGGAGCGAGGCATATTCAAAGGAGGAAGGTCGCCAGCTGGGGAAATAGGATGGTGTGCCGGAGAGGGAGTGGAATGGACAGAACCGTGCTCGGAGAACATGTCACCAGGCATTCTCGCTCTCTCCTTGTTCTGCCTCAGATTGGCCTCGGTTTCCGCAGCAGCTTCCTCGATTGTGCCCGTGTGGTGGTTCTGGTGGCGGGTCAAGGTGGTGCGGCGAGTGAATGTCTTCTGGCAGTTTGCGTAGGGGCACTTGTAGGGACGCTTCCCAGAGTGGATTCTGCGGTGTCGCGCCAAAGAGGACGAATCACTGAAAGGCTACAAGTCGGTTAGTCCTGCTCGAAAACCAGCCAAGAAAAAAGCATGTACATACCTTGCCACATCTCTCACACATATGAGGCTTCTCTCCAGTGTGGACTCGAGAGTGCACTGTCAGAGCTGAACGTTGAATGAACTGTTTGCCACAGCCGGGCCAGTCACAAGCATGAGGCCTGATGCCGGAGTGAATACGTTCTATGCAAGTTAGCTGACTGTTTCCCTACGGGTTCGTGAAAAATGCTTACCGTGCCTTGCAAGGTCACTGCGGCGGGCGAATCCTTTACCGCAAGTACCACAGTGGAAAGTTTTGGGAGGAGGATCCGGCCTCCCTTGAGGGGCACCGGCGTTCGGTATTTGAGCACCACCGGCGTAGGCTCCAGGAACAAAAGGATTCTGCAACAGGGGCAGCCCCGGCCCCGGGTGTGCCTGGTGCGCATAGCGCATATCATGGGCCATGTTCGGCACCTGGCCGAGCGGACCATGAGGGGGGTATGCAAGGACAGCTTGATCACCAGCGTCGGAGACACCAGGTTCCGACTTCATTTTAGGCGATGACGTGTCGAGCCCAGGATTCGGTACCAAATGCTGATGATCAAATTGTCCGTCTGCGGCAACCATGGCGGCAGAACCTTTTCTATTCAAAATCGTTGTGATGTCCATGACCCGACCCCGCGAAGAGCTGAGGGACGGTGGTCAAGGACGGTCGAAGGATTTCACGGTAGCCCGTCTGACGCGTAGCCGCAGAATGACTCCACGGCGCTGATCAAAGGCTGTTGAGTGGCTGAGCCAGGTGTCGAGTTAGCTTCACCGGTATAGCGCAATGAAAAACAATTGTGATACCGACAAACAGCGCGGCCGTGGCTTGCATATAGGAGTAACCACTTCCAACAATCAGGCAACACGCTGGCAGAAAGACCGCGACTGCTCCACCAACTCCAGACCGAACACGGTCGAAAGCAAACAGATGTCATGGACAGATGATTTGCCGGGATAAACGGAAGAAAATAATTGTAAAACTCACCTTGCTTTGCGCTACCCGTAGATCAGGGACTGTCTGTCCTGACGAGGTGTGACGTGGGCGAAGATGACCGGGATCACGGCTTTCTCGTAATCAAGAATGTGAGGACAAGGGCGAGTTGTCAACCCAGACTGCGCAGTAGATTCGGAAACTGACCCAGCAAAGACCAAGATCCTAGTTCTGACCTCCACGGATAGCTGCAGCGAAACTTATCCAGCAGTAATCGAAGGGAAGTGGCTTGAAATCACTGGTGTAAACTCGACAAATCTCGGATCGGTCGATGGAACACGCGAGACTTGTAATCACCGAAATGTCGCTACGGCTTGCAGGCGAATTTGCGACAAGGTCCGGATTCACTTGGAGTATGTATGCGATCGCAGGAAGTGAATGTGCGCGCTGTCGAAATGTTTCAGCGGGAAATCCCAGGAGAAAAGCTCAGCGTCTCCAGAGGAGGGGAAAACGGGGCAGGACGTGAATGATTCGGACTCGATCGGTGGTCTTATGGATGAGATCTGAATGGAGGCACAGTAGAAGATCAGTAAACTGCGCGCAAACCGAAAGAATCAAGTGAGGGAAAGGTGCCTTGTGCGCGGCCTGTCCAGTGTCTCAAATTCCTTTTTTTTCCCACCAAAACAGGTGGTAAGAAAAATCTCCAGTCCGAGCCCGCTCAATGGACGGCATTGCGCGCAGGTTCAGAAACCAGGAAATGCGACAAATAAGACGATGGTTCGCACAGAGACGTGCTCTGCAGGCGCTCATATCCATCCACATGCAGCGATGGAAGGCAGTCATCATTGACTGGGGGGAAATCGGAGGAGAGGGGGAAGGGAAACAAAGCAGCCGCGGGGGGAGCTGCGGTGTGGAAAGCGCCAAAGCAGCCAAGAAAGAGGTACTTACAGAGACCGAGGAAAGAAGTGACAGCTTTCAGGTGAAACGCGGTCAAGATGGACACGGTCTGGGAAGACCCAAAGTGTTGTTGTTATGTTGCGCGCGGAAGGAGGGGATCGACGGAAAGAAAATGGGGGGGTTCCGAAGAGTTAAAACAGCCAGCAATGGGGAAGAAGAAGAAGAGGCCTGTTCGACGGAGCTTCTCGGGGTTATTCTGACGGGAGAGGCAATAGTAAGGTGAGAGGGGAGGGAAATTCCTCGAAAACCACACAGCCGTGGCGAACCGATGCAAGAGGCGGAAAAGCAAATGCACCAAGCAGGATGACGGGGAAAGTCTGTCTGTGTGTGTGTGCTGTGGGAAAAAGAGGAAAAGCAAGGAGATTTGACAGGGAGGCAGAGAAGAAAGGATGAGGAATTATAAAAAACAAAAAGAAAGAGGTAGTTTTGACTTCTTCTTTCTTAGTACAAATCGGAAGAGAGAAAAAATAAAATAAGATGAAGGGGAGGGAATTTGTAAGGGAGAGAGATGAGTGATGGGGAAAAGAATCAGTGAATAATTAATGGAAGAATAATCTCTGGATGTTGATGGATGGATGGGGATTGTTTTTGATCGGTAAAACAGGAACAGTAATAGGTAAGAGTCAGAGGAGTAAGTGAGCAAAATAAAATCAGGATAGAGATAAAATAATGATAATAATAATAATCATAAATACTCAAATCGATCCAGCAATCAATCAATCAATCAATCAATCAACCGGGGGGGAATTCGGGGGCTGCAGGTGAATATTAATGGGCGAAAAGCAGCCCAACAGCAGGTGGCTGCTCGTTTTCTTATAGATCCAGTTAAAATAACTTCTTCTACTCCTTCTAGTGTGATCCAAGGTATCCATACGGTGTGCGTGCCTCACCCGTTCGTCTTATTAGTGAGGATTGGATGTGCTCCTCTCTTCTCCTTCCGACCATCACCACTTGGTCTGGCAGGTAAGGTAAGTTAAAATTAAATGTTATTATAATTAGTATAGCTGGAGGTCCTTCCTTTTCCTTTTCCAACAGTAGTGGCGGTAAAATAAAATCAGAATAAAAATAAATGAAAATAATAATATTAATCTTATTATTATAATTTCACTGACGACTTCTTCTTGACTAGTTCAGTCCCAGACTTACTACCTATTTACTACCGACTACTTCCTGCTACTAGACTAACTGCAATACGCTTTAGTTCACGGAGGCTACCACGACTCTAAGTACCACTACAGCTTCGCACGTTTCCACCACAGGCCCCAAGTGGCTCCAGTGAACTCAACTCGCTCGAAGAAGCTGGCGGCACCAGAAGGTCACCGTCAGCGCTCGGCTCCACAACGTGGCTTTCCCCGTCTCTCCTTGGCCGTGCGAGAATCGCTCCTGCTGGGTGGGTATCGGCGGGTTGATGCCGATCTGAATGAATCAGGACAATATTATTCTTTTTCTGGTGCCGCGGGCCAGGCGATTACCTTCCATTGCTTCCTTCCTCCCCGTCACACTTCCCTCGGGACATGCTGTGAAGGATACGTGATGGAAGAAGAACAAGGAATCGCATCCGATAACAACGATTTTTAGCCCGCCCACTCGGAGGAACACGCGATAACCAGAGAACATCCCACGGGACACATTCTGCGCTAAATGAGTGAGGAGGAGGGGTGTGTGTGATATAACGTAAACTGGTACAAGGCAGAAAGAGAGGAACAAGGTCCCCGATCGTGGCTGGTAACTGGGCCAGGAGTCTGACCACGGATATTGCATCACTGTTCGGAAGCTACTCCTGCACCTACCCCAGGAGTTTCCCTTTTCTCAAGGGGCCTCTATCTGCCCCTGGTGCGCCCATCGAGAGGGGGAAAGGAAGAGCACGGAGGATAAGCCGAAACCAAAGGAAGGACAAAGACAAATGAGAAAAAAGAAAGCAGGAGAGAAAATAGGAAACCAGGTGATCAGATCGGACTGGCTGCATGCTTCAAAGTATCGTGCGACAATGCGAAAAACTCTCCAGCGCCGGCTCCGATCAGGCATCAACCATCACCCTATGGCGTGGCTTTGCTTCAGCTTCGCCCTCCCAAAAGTCCCAGACAGGGCAACAACATCCTTCAGCTTCTTTACACAAGCTCGCCAACAGGAAGCCTTGTTCGGGACGAAACCGAAAATGCAAATGCGAATAAAAAAAATGGATGCCTCTTATTTGTTGCCAGCCTTCCCTTGGACGAAATTTCAGGGTGAAGCGATCGCTAATCTCGCTTTAGAGTACTAGGGTAACTACTTCACCTACTACAGAAGACTAAAATCAGATTGACCAGCCGCGAAGAGGCATCGCGGACTAACCCCAGGCGATTCGGCTGTTCAACGGAAGATGTGATTTGCCCCTTTCGGAAGAGGGTCTCAGCATGGCCTGTGATTACCGAAAGAACAACGGTGGGAAAGCTAATTTCCTTCTAGAAAGGTTCGAATGATGGGGAATCGGGCGTGGTCCAGGACCTCCTAGAGGAGCTTTGAACGCACTACGTATTACATAGTGCTTCAACCCGTCCCTCCACGCAGGCGCCCCCCCTTCTTCTCCTCTTGTCTCCTGTGTCTCCTCTTCCCTCCCATCCGGCTGCAGGGACAAGTCTTCCTCGTCCTGTCGGATGCTTCCTTCCCCATTCCACTCACCGATCTGCATGTCACGTTGGACCACATGCTGACAGGTGCAGCGAATGTGTAGAGAGCAAAGGGCACACCAACCAAGAAGCGGCTAATTCTAGAGCGCAAAAAAAAGCAGGGTTTGATGATACGGAGGGCGGTAATGGGCCGTGGAGTCTTTTCCCGCCCGGTTCCTAGAAAAATGCCCTAGTCCTGCGACTAGTCGCCTAGTCTTGCTAGTCTACGGACCTGACGGAGGAGGCTGCGACGAAGAGTCCACCCGTGCTGCCTCTGGGCTTCAGTCAGGGATTCCCTCCTTTCTTTCCTCTCCCACCCCTCTTGGTATTTTTCCCTTGTTGACTTTTTTTTCCCTGCTTGCTTTTTCCTATTCGGTTGTGACCTTGTTGGTCTCCCTTGCAGAAGACCGACCCCACTGCTACACACACTAACGGACTCGTACATCGTATGGATCCTTTGTGTGAACCAGTCATGATGGCTGCCAAGCTCACTTCGGGCTTCCGGCGACCTTCTAGAAAGAGCTCGGAAGGGCAATGGAAGGCTTCTAAAGCGTCTTTTCCCCCCCTCTTCTCTCCCCTTCTGCCCCCCCATGTGCCATTGCGGCTGCGTCACCCACCTTGGGCCGATGGTGGCCCCTGTCTCTCCCTCCTGGCGCTCGTGTCACATCCCTGAGTGGAAGATCCCACGACAACTCACAACGGACTTGGACATAGCCGGCGCTCCGGCAGCCAACAGAATAATACAGCAATCTCAAAAAGAAAAATAAAAGATACATGATAGCTGCAGACTTCTTAGCGAACCCCGGAATTGACTTTCTTGGTGGTCAGTGTGAATTTCTAATGATTAGGTGACCCGAAGAACGGGACAGCTATGCGCTCCGTCCTATCTGACCATCGGCATCGTCATCATTGCCCGGAATCCCTGCAGGTGTCCGTGTTGGTCGCGGATCCGTGTTGAATGATTCTCCCTCGGCCCCACGGCTAGGCTCTCTCCCGAACGTTGGCCTTGGGGACATGGTAGTGCGAAATAGATAGAGTAGTACTCCGTAGTGTCTCGTTCTTAGACACTATACGGAGTACTATGCCTTGGGAATGGTTTGACTTGGCCCACGTAAATTCAGGGGCGCTCGGGGGTCCGAGGAGAAGTGTGGCTAGAGCGGACGATGATGACGTCCTAACCAGCTGCCCGCCTACATCATCTCACCGAGTAATACTTAATAAGAGGAGGGACCATCAATTGCGGGACATACGATTGGACCGACGGGCTAGGCTTAATTGCGAGTGGCCGCGTTGGAGTTTCAGTTGTCGGAGAGGACGGGCCCTTGGTGCGAGAGATACGTTGCCTAAAGCAGAATAGGGGAGAGTTCCACAGGTGGTGTGGTCTGGTTCACGCCGCATGAATGCGTGAAAGAGAGACGGTTCGACTAAGCCCGTCCGTCAGATTGATGAGGGACGAAGGATGGATGGATGGATGCATCGCCATCGGATGATGCAGTAGCAGATGCTCTAGCGCCAGATTGCCTCTTTTCTGGAAGCTTGCCTATGCAGGACAATCACACATTGTCAGCCTCGGGGTCAACGCGCAGATGCATGGGGAGGATTTAAGTTAAGTTTTCCTTGAATCCCATTGTCTTTTCTTTTTTTGGTCGCCACTGTTTCTCTTTTACCCTACTAGTGTACTTGCTATGTAGTTTGAGGAGCTGCAGCTGCAGTACGACCATTGTCGTCACAGCCGAATTCGACCTTTTCTTCCGTTTTCCATCGGATAGGGGAAGAGAGAAGGCAGAACAAGAAGAACTTAGTACTTACGGAGAGCATCCAATTACCAACCACCACTTTCACCTTCTTAGCAAACTCGGTATATAACGCGTATTACTTTACTCCGTCAGTCACACACATACTGCTGTGTACTACACCGCATCATCACCATCACCATCATCGTATCCTTATTTTCCCCGACACTACTACGAAGTACTAACCACCAATATGGAGCTACTCCATACAAACTAGGAGTTTTTTTTTTTCTCCATACCATAGCAGTCATAGTGGCAACCACCATGCCCCATTTTCCACCTTCCCCCCCCTTCTCTAGCCGGTTCCATTTCCTGATCGACAACCCCAAGAATCAATTCCGCTCAGAAAGCAAGACAGACAGACAGAGAAACTCAGTCTTAACTCTACGCAGATAGTGCACGCTCATCATGATCTTCACCGGCATCATGAAAACGAGTCCCGACCCGAGACTAAGTAAACTGACTAGTCTGTTAGCCTGTTAGGGTAAGGGAATAACAGAGTAGTGCTTAATATTTAAACTATACTATCATATAGCTTAAACCGCACCGGGTAATTCGAGAGTATCTACACAGAAGGAAAAAGGCGGCTGATGATTCATTTCTCTTTCGTAATGAAGTCCTACTCACCATGCCATACAACTATCCCATGGATTGTCAATCATTAATTAAGCTAGCTAGGTATCAATTCCACACGGCACTTAGGGAGACATACAGTACAACAAAACCAGGAGAACAGAAAAATAAGGGATAGAGAGACGAGAGACGAGACAAAACAAAACTAAACAAGAGGGAAACTGAATAAGATGACCAACCATCTGGGTCCCATCCCATCCCATCCCATCCCTTCTCCCTCTAAATTGGAGCAACGAAAAAAACCCCCTCGAAAATCAGAACCCATCAAGCTACGGAGTACTACTTACTGTACTAGACTACGTACGGCACAGAAAGGAAAAGGAAAAGGAAAAGAAAAAGTGGCCTAGGCCGCCGGCCCCATAACCCTGACTAGCAACACCACGTACTAACTAACTAAGAATTTTGGTAGACTCCGTAAAAAACGTCGAGAACTCGACAGGTATGGATAGAGTATGCTTCCAGAAGACACGTAGAACAACTCCCTTAAGTGGGGGGAATAAAACTAGTTAGTTAGTTGGCTGGGAATCATGGTTCACCGACGGAGTTTTATTCTGTGTTTGGAGATTGTGGATTCCCCGTTTGTTGTTGTTCGTGACGGGGGAGAAAAAAGGGAAAGGAAGAAAGAATGTGAGGGAATATTCTATTAGCAATAAGTTTTGCTGTGCTGTGTATATTGAGGTGCCGCATTTCTCTTTTTTAATTTTCTTCCCTTTTTTTTTGTTCTCTCATTTGGAGCAAGCAGTACTGTACTAGGTAGATGTGTACTGGTACCTTGTGGGAGGTACAGTTATTGTATTATTGTAAGTAAGTAAGTAAGCCAGCCATCGTAGCAGGCAAACAGTAGAAGTGGTAGCCTGATCGCCTCAATTTGCTGTGCGCGATAAAGACAATATGAGGATGGGTAATGCAGCACGCCACGATTGCACGGAAAGCAGCCGAGGATGTATTCCACACATAAAACCTTGTATCTGATCAAGAGAGTTGATCTATCATATTGATGCGATCATTCTTGCGAGCAATCAAACAGCCCCCAAAGGATTCTTAAATGTGAGTAGTAAGCAGTACCTGCCTGCCTGCCTGGCAGACAGAGACCAAACAAACACCCAGCCTTGGCATGTTTGTTCCCCCGAACAACATCCGCATCCGCAATATCGCAACTTCGGCTTCAATTCTGCCAGACCAGCGCTGCAGCTAATCCAGCTATATTGATCTGCCATTGACGATGCGCGGCGCGTCCAACACATTCCTCTAGGTATATACCAGTATATTTCATGCAATTACAACCCAATTCCAACTAACACAACCCACCAGTCCACCCAAAAACCACTTCCAACCATAAACTAAAATACACCACACCCAAACCTCCAATCCAATCGACCTCATTCCAGAAAAGAAGAATACAACCGCCAAAATGCTCCGCCCAACCTCAACCTCAACCACCACCACGACCCTCCTCCGCACCCTCCGCGCCCTCACCAGCACCACCACCACCACCACCACACCCACCACAATCCTCCCCAAATCCCAAACACGACACCACTCCTCCGTCTCCGCCAACGAACTATCCCACTTCTCCTCCCTCGCAACATCATGGTGGGATCCCCAAGGCCCCTCGCGCGTCCTGCACCTCATGAACCCCGTCCGTCATGACTTCATCGCCTCCTGCCTCGCCGAATCCACCCCGATAAGCAGCACGACGCCATCCTCACCCATGGACCCCACCAACACCCACAACAAGAACAACCTGCGGTACCTCGACATCGGCTGCGGAGGGGGCATCTTCGCCGAGTCACTAGCACGCACAATCCCAGCCTCTTCACCTGTATCACCAGAAGCTACTACTAGTACTCTGACACGCACCCGCGCCGCCAGCATAACAGCACTGGACCCCAGCCCCACGCTGATCAAGATCGCACGGGACCACGCGCGTCTCGACCCTACCGTGCAAGCGCACCTGGATAGCGGGCGGTTCAAGTACGTGAATGCGTCGTTGGAGGAATTCATCCCCACATTGTTGCCTACAGAGGAGAGGAAATTCGACATCGTAACTCTCTTCGAAGTGCTCGAGCATATCGATAATATCCCCGGGTCGATCACACCGCAGAGTTTCCTGTCTAATTGTCTATCTATGGTGAAGCCGGGCGGATGGTTGATTGGGTCGACGATCGCGAGGACGTTCCCGTCGTGGCTGGTTAATCAGGTTATTGCGGAGGCGCCGTGGCCGATTGGGGTGGTGCCGAGGGGCACGCATGAGTGGAAGAAGTTTGTCAATCCGGGGGAGTTGGAGGGGTGGGTGCAGGAGGGGTTGATGAGGGGGGTGGATGGGAGGGCTGTGAGGGGGGGCAGTGAGGCGTTGGAGGGGGCCAGGTGGAGGTGTGAAGGCGTGGTGTATTTTCCGGGGTTGGGGTGGAAGTTGGTTAAGGGATCGGAGAGTTGGGGGAATTATTTTTGGGCTGTTAGGAAGGGGGAGTAATCTTACTACGTCGTAGTACTAGTAGTAAGTAGTAACTGTTATTGAGGAGGGGTGGGATTGTATATTACTAGGTGGGTGGTGTACGATATGTATCTATAGATGCAGTGCTTGAGTTACTGTCATAGCATTAGATAGGTGTTTCATTGCATTAGCTTCTTTCTTGCATTGGTGCTGTTATACTGATGTAGTGATATACGTGGATTGTGCTTGTATCAATAGACCTGCTGCATGTTGATCCATCGACACGAACCGGCGAGCATAGGATAAAACACCCCTCAATCACTTCTTCCTCCCCTTCCCCTTCTTCTTCGGCTTCTCCGGTTCAGGAACGCTGACCGTCCCCTGCACCACATCTTCCCCCTGATCCTGCAGTCGCGCCGACCCGCTAATGAAGAAAGTGAGATCCCGGTTCTGCTCCGTCAAATCGGCATTCGCAAGTTTCAGACTCTCCACTTCGGACTTCAATAGCTCAACCCGTTCAATGAGATTCTCATTCATCGTCTTCTCTTCTCGCCACTCTTTCTCCATCTTGCGCGTCATCGTCTCGAACTTCTCCGCGCGCTTCTCGGCCCGCGCCTTATCGCGCTCCAGCCCGGGGATGATCTCGCTAGTCAGGGTGTCATATTGCGCTTGTAGACTTTTCAAGCTGGCGGTGGCTTTCTCGACTGCGTCCTGCGCGGAAGAGGCAGCAGCACTGGCCTGAGATGCCTTGTCCACGGCGCGCTCGACTACCTCTTCGAAGTAGGCACGTTGGCTTTCAAGTTGACTAGTAAGTAGATGGGTATATTCCACGCTCATGTTCTCCAGCTTCTCCCGCGGAACGGCGTCTGTCCAGTCGGGTGGGTCGAGCGCGCTGTTGTCGGCTGCTGGAAGTTCCACGAGCTTGCCGTCCGTTTTGCTTTGGATGATGCGGTGCACGTAGGCATCGCCGACGTAGTCCCAAACGCGCTGCGTAGAGAGATCCATTGCAAAGGCATGCGCCGTTTCCTTGTAATGCGCAAATGCATGAGCCCCGTCATAGCGTCCACAGCCGACGTTTCCGCAAATAAGGCATATCCAGAGGTTTATATCCGAGTGGCACACGCTGCACTCGGCTGGTTCGTCATCATATAATGCGGCTTGGCTGTTGCGTCGGATATCGTCTTGTGTGTATCGACATACGGGGCAGCCACTTCCTTTCCACTTTTGTAGACATGTGCAGTGAAAGACATGCTGACATATGATAGTCAGCAAGCCGGTGGTCTCATCCATACGCTCCAGACACACGGGACATGTTGGCAATTCGATAAGCGCAGGGGTAGGAGGCGCCAGCGGTCTGGTAGAGAGGGTAGCGGAAGGTATGGAGCTTGACTGCGTGGTGGAAATTGGCGTCGTCCGCACAGGGCTCGTTGTAGTGTGTGGGGAAAGAAGGCCGCTCTGTGATCCAGACAGCGCGCCCGGCTCAACGGCTTGTATTTCGACGGTCTTTACGAAGACAACATGACAGGTTTCGGGCTGAAGCAAGGGCGCGTTAGCATCGCAGCCGTGGATCTGCATCAAGCAATGCATGATGCACTTACCTCCATGCTGTTGAACACCTTTCCATTCCAGTCCTTCTGCCACTCCTTGGCCTTCTTCCCGCTGCGAAACTTCATCAAGACCATGTACCGGTTCGCTCGAGCAGTCTTGATCATGCGGAAATGATTGACATCGTTCATAGTCGATTCGCCCACGAACCCCAGAAAGTCGGACGGCGACATATAGGAAGGGACGGCTAGGATACATAACGTTGTGCAATCCTTATCTGGCATGTGCTCTTCTGCGCGCGGGGGCCTACTGCTGCCGCCCACTTCATCGTACGGTGTCCTCGCCGCAGCCGCGGAACCTTTCAAGTACGAGGGGTAGTCCTCTTCTGTCAGGTACGGCGTCTCCTGAGCATCTCGGTATAGATGTACGATTCCCCAAACACTGTCCGAAGTGCTCTGGTCCAGCGGTATGTATTTGCCTTTGGTGCGTAGTCCTCCCAATATATCCGTGCCGATCCCGGTCGCGATGGGGTTATCTTTTGCGTCCTTCCAGCCCGCCCGCTTCGCAGCACTGGTGTCCTGCTCCGATGGAATCATATCAATGCACTCGATGGATACTTTATCAAGCCTGAGATCTCTCTCGAGATCGGATGCGCTTGTGGACGAAGTCGTGTAGAGGTGAGGGGTACGGGGGTCTGTGACGTTGGTAGTAGAGTCCGAGCCGTGGGTTTCGGCGAAAGTGTTGGATGAGGGGCGTGGATGTTTCCCATGCGCTTGATGACGAGAGAATCGATGTGCCCACGGTGAGTGTCGGGGGCGCTTGTGGAACGGGAGTAGAGCTTCGCATGCGGAGTCGAAGGATAGCGACGTCGAGTGCTTGTCCACGCCTGTAAAGGTGCCGTGGTGGTCAGAGTGCGGGCGAGCAAATAGTTCGATCGCAATGTGGTAGAAAAAGGAGGGCATCACGACTGATGCTCACATCTCCAGCGTGTTACACGTCTGCAACTGCTCTCTCAGGTCGAGTTCATGAATGGAAGCTACTTTCCTGTCCCACGCCGCCTTGGGACGGTATAGTCACGTGCTTGGATACGGGTGGCGAAGATGGTGACTCACATGCGATGTCTATTTAGTTACTTGTTAGCTATTATATAGGTAGATGAAGATGAAGATGACGCTATTGCAATTTCTATCTAGTTCCGTCTCATACGATCTGTAAGGTGGTGGACGCCGTCTTGGAATTGCATGTGGACCACGTCTATGCTAGCGTGACGTCCTACCTCGGGTGGTCCTACTCAATCTACAGGAAACGGTGCAAGCAAGATATCAGGTGGAATATAATTATTGGATTGAATCCTAGGTGAAAGAATGTCGCAAGGCACCATAGAAGATGGTGACCCTAAGGTATGCCCAATTTATCCGTGTCATAAAACCGATAAAACAACCGTCCCAACGCCATGCAGGCCACTCAACCGTAGATGAGCCGTGCTAAAGAAGAAAGATCCAAAGAAAGCATTAGTTTCCACCACGGAGACGGAGCACCAGATGCAGGGTGCTCTCCTTCTGGATGTTGTAGTCGGAGAGCGTACGTCCATCTTCCAGCTGCTTACCAGCGAAGATGAGACGCTGCTGATCCGGGGGAATGCCCTCCTTATCTTGGATCTTGTTCTTGACGTTATCAATGGTATCCGAGCTCTCCACCTCCAGCGTAATCGTCTTGCCGGTGAGAGTCTTCACGAAGATCTGCATACCACCACGGAGACGAAGGACAAGGTGAAGGGTCGATTCCTTCTGAATGTTGTAGTCGGACAAGGTACGACCATCCTCCAACTGCTTACCAGCAAAGATCAAACGCTGCTGGTCCGGGGGAATGCCTTCCTTGTCTTGAATCTTGGTCTTAACGTTATCGATGGTGTCGGAAGATTCAACTTCCAATGTGATCGTCTTTCCCGTAAGAGTCTTGACGAAGATCTGCATACCACCACGTAGACGAAGGACGAGGTGAAGAGTGGATTCCTTTTGGATGTTGTAATCAGACAGGGTACGGCCATCCTCCAGCTGCTTTCCAGCGAAGATCAGACGCTGCTGGTCGGGAGGAATGCCCTCCTTGTCCTGAATCTTAGTCTTCACATTGTCGATAGTGTCAGAAGACTCCACCTCAAGGGTGATGGTCTTTCCGGTCAGGGTCTTGACGACTAAAGTGAGGTCAGTATAAGTTCCAAGTGAAAGTGGCCAACAGGGTGGCAAATAGAGTTCAGAAAAACTTACAAATCTGCATACCACCACGCAGGCGGAGAACGAGGTGGAGAGTGGACTCCTTCTGGATGTTGTAGTCAGACAGGGTGCGGCCATCCTCCAGCTGCTTTCCAGCGAAGATCAGACGCTGCTGGTCAGGAGGGATACCCTCCTTGTCCTGGATCTTGGTCTTAACATTGTCGATGGTATCGCTCGACTCGACCTCGAGGGTGATGGTCTTGCCGGTGACTAGATGGAAACAAGCAGTCAGATGATGGATTCATAATGCTAAGCTTGGAAGGTGATTAGGTATACTCACGGGTCTTGACGAAGATCTGCATGTTGTAGAAGCGCAGTTAACGGTGTATGTAATTAGGTGTGGAGTTGTTGTGGAGAGGATCGCAGAAGGCGATGCGCGGAAGGTGAGTGGTAGGATGAGAGGTATGAGGGATGAAGGAGGGTTGGTAGAGAGAGGAAGGAAGAGAAGGCTTAAGTAGTCAGGAGAGGAGGTGAATGAGGGGAGGCGGAGGCGAAGCGCCTTAGTCAGAGGTTCGGTCAGTGAGATAACGTGATGCAAGGGAATGGGTTAGAGGTCAAGTCGCAATAAAGGGAAAAGAGCAGCAGGGACCTTAGCCCGAGCGGTGTTAGCCTGTCAGACGAAGTACCTTTCGGGCGACGCTTCTGGCACCTCCTGGGAGATTCCCTTGCCATCCGGCTATTGCGCCGGAATCCGCCTGGTCTGCGTCATTTGGTTCTCCAATACGCTTCGTTGCTGGAAGCGCTTGGGAGGGAGAATCTACTAGAAAGGTTCTGGTTGGGTTGACTCAGGCTCCCACGGCAGCCACCTGTTATTGGGTTTACAACTACGGGAATGGTCGCTGAAAGGAAAGAGAGGTTAGCGCATACGAAAATTCTGTCTGCAAAACTTAGAACAACAGGCAAAGCCTGATCCCATGTGGTAGGCACTGCTGCTGCCATGGGAGGGGGAATCGAAGCCAGTTGGTTGCCGGGGCCTGATATCAGTCCGGGGGAAGCGTCTACGAGCGGACAGGACGACTCCGTCCGTACCCGCCACTGACGCCACCAGTCGGTATCTCAGCCCGACCCAATCCAGACCGCAGCCGTGTTCCTGAAATAGAACCCGTTGAAACTCGGACTTTTCTGTTGTCTATATATTGGTTGCCTTCTCATTGATAATTCGTATCATCTCACCGGGTGAACTGGTGGGTGATCAGAGAGGTAATGCGACAACTGGCCTTGCGGCGGCAACAACGGCGATGACGTGTGAGTTGGGGGCATTTCTTATCGGAGGATGGAGGGATGGGGGAAGGGGATCCTCTCCAGCTGTTATCTCGACGGCGCGGCCTCGGGAAGTGGCCTTAGGCCATCGCTAGCGGCTGGAGATGGGTCAGGTGATCGTCGCATCCGGAATGCCCCGCTTTTGGCCCGGCCGGCAACCCACTGAATCGTATCCATGACTGCATGCATTCCACCCTCATATACCAGCTCATCGTTTGCATCATCACTATTTACTATTCTCTACTCACTAGTACTAGTAGTTATGTTTCAAATCTCCCTCTCTTGATAACTGTCCCTTGGCTGCGTCATCATCCATCGTGGTTGAGCATGCGTAGGTGCCACACAATCTATTGCATTGGGCGACTATTGGGAAAGTTTCTCCAATACGAACTAGTGATTCTTCTGTTGTGGAGGGCATGATGACCCAACAATCTACCTCTATCGCGTTCCATTCCCTAGCTCGCAGGACAGGCAAGACCTTCCATTCATGGTTACCGTGGCTCGGAACTTTCTTCTGCTTTAGGGTCTAGAGATGGCTTTAGATAAACAAAGAAAGGTGGTACCATTCTCAATCCCGTTGAGTGATCATCCCGCTCTTCAATCAACAAACCAGTCATAACTCGCCGGCAAGGCGCATGCGGGCAAGCTGCTGTCGGTGTGATTACCGTCCCCACTCAATAGCTAGGCATAATGGGCTTGTTGTGGGTTTGGCCATCCTCGTTGTAGATGTTGGACTTGACCACAAGGTTGCCAAGATGATAAATAGTTGAGGTTTGTAGCAACAGAGATCCTAAGTTCAGCACTCTGTTCAATCGGCACGGTGGTGACACGGATCGGAAAATATGCACGGCGATTGCACCCTAAGCTTTGGCGCGACAGTGGCACTCGCATCAAGACGGAAGGGGCAACGCATCAGCTCTATTTTACCTCCCTGAAGATACCTTAAAAGACCCCAGCGTCAAGCACTCATGCCGGTGAGGGTGGACAGAATCAGCAAGAGTCTGAAGCAAAAAACCGGAACCGTCATAGGAGACCGGCGCTCTACCATTGAGCCAATAGACCAATGGAAACGATCTACATGGGACTCGAACCCACAACCTCCGGTTTTCCAAACTCAACCAATGAGCCAACGGACCGATTTAGGCGGGAGCTTCAAAAAAGTGGTTTATGGGCGGTAACTGGCTGTCTCCGAAGAATGGCAGCTGTCAGCGGGTCTCACCGACCAGATGTTTGATGTTTGTTTACATCTCCAATGCGGTAGATATAGATGAGTTGATTGTACGCATGTTGCCTACACGTCTGATTACCTACTTAAAGACAGAACACGTACAAATGCATGTCCGTCGTCGCTGCTCAACATCACTGCAAGGGGCAGTTTAGTGCTCAGCCGCATGCTGAAGATTGATAGATCGATCGTAGCGGAACTCACCCCCCTCATCTCCATCATTCACTCACCCTTAGTTCATTGATTTGTTTGAACCTCTGTTCCGATCGCTCTCGTTGCACCCTCTGATAAGGTTGCAGATCAGGTGCTTATAGTTTCCTAGCTTGGTTCACTCGAATATTCACTTGCTGCATCAGTGGTTCTTGGTCCCTGCCCCTCCACCCTTGAGGCAACATTGTTCTTCTGGCTTTCGCGCTTGACACACAACATTGAGGCGAGAATAATCCCCCCCCCCCGGCAGCATCATTGCTTCCCAGACGCTCCTCTACAGCCACAATGTACGACTGTGAAACGTGCCCCGGCTACTTTAACAGCTGGTATGCCTGTCGCCAGCACATGAACGACACGGGCCATTGGGGCGTGCGGTACGAATGCGAAACGTGCGATGATCAATTCTTGACTCAATGGGAAGTGGAGGAACATATGGATGAGTATGGACACCACGCTCCCAAGATACCTTGCGAGACATGCGGAAGGAAGTTCTACAACCAGACGTCAGCGGATCAGCACATGAATGCAATGGACCATTGGGCTCCAACATGGCCATGTGAGACTTGCACACAGATGTTCCATACGGAAGGTGCTGCTGAACAGCATATGCGGGCCAAGTCCCATTACAAGAACTACTGCCACCCCTGTAGCCGACGTTTCGATACTGCGAATAACCTCAAGATGGTAAGGCCTTCTATATCTTCCAACATCGTCATTGAACTCAGACCTCGCTTGTAGCACCTAAATTCGAAAATCCACCGCGGTCAAGACATTCTCTGTCCTTTCTGCAACGCTGCTTTTACTACAGCCACTGGCGTTGCCCACCACCTTGAAACCGGCTCCTGCAAGCGTGCTGTAGGTCTCAATCGCGAAACTATCTACAAATTTGTTCGCAGCCGTGACACCCAGGGCGTCATTACAAGGAAGCTGCTTGAATGGAATACAGATGACAACATTCAATACAAGGCTAATTCCCGTGCATACAACGGCGAATACTGGGAGTGCTACTTGTGTCATCGGGGATTCAACAGTTTGACCGCACTCAATCAACATCTCAATTCGCCTGTGCACAAGCAGAAGCTGTATCATTGTCCAAACGCAAAGTGTAAGAAGCAGTTTATAACCATAGCTGCTCTGTTCAACCACCTTGAGAGTGAATCCTGCGCTTTTATGCGGTTTGAGAAGGTACAGCGACAGGTTCAGGATGTGTTTCGTGGCCAGAGAGCTATTGCATTCTGAGAATAGCACAACACTATATTCCCCGGCTCCCAAAGCTGAATATGCAATTCGAATTGATGTCTGCTAATATGTCTAAATTTCAAGTGTTGATATTTCACAAGCGGATTCCAGATGCTGTCATAAGTCAGCTACGCAGGGCGTATGGCATAATCATGCTACAAGACTGCATCATTGAGGCCAGTTTCTGACGTCTATCTCACTTTGTGCATTTAGTCTGGTTTGTTATTCTATTCTTACCCGCTGGCGGCTATTACGATATCATGTCAGAAATTCCCCCGAGCATTGTTACCAGCAGAATGACAACAATCTGACCAATTCCTTGTTATTCATCTATGATGTCTTGCTCACCAATTTTATGTTCTTACCAGTTTAGTATCTCAAAATCTAAGAATATGTCAACCACATATCTCCAGAATCACTAACTCAGCCCTACTCGCTACTCCGCGGATGTCCACCAATGTCCTCAAGCAATGTAAGTACACAGAGTAGATCAGCAAACCGGAAGGTCTAATACAACCATTCACATGAACCAATCCTAGTATCACTTTCACTAGGACATGAAAATAGAGAAGAAGTAATACAGAAACAGTTAGAAATCCGGCAAAACAACACCGTAGAGCTCCCATCTATGATTTATCTTGCCACTCCAGTAACTACAGTACGTTGTAAGACAGGGAATTTGAACCTCACCATCCCAAACCGGAAGACAATGAAAGAGAGGGAATAAATAATTGGAAGAACCCCGCCTATACTCCCCCCACTTCATACTTACTTGAAGCATACCAAATACCACGCACTACCCGAAGCATTCATCGTATTTATCAGTACCTTGGGAAGCCTATGCTCAGTATTTGGATCTTACTTAGCCGGGAACCGCAAGGAGCTAGTAAACAGACGAAGAACCAAGGGATGAAATTCCCGTACCCAGCCTTCTTTAGATAGTAGGCAACAAGCACTAGCTAAGTAGTAGATGTGATATTACCCAATCATCAGTTTTGAATATGACAGACAGACAGACAGACAGACATCATCATGCTAGCAACAGTGAAGTTTCAAGTATACTATAAATTTGACAACAGACTGGATTATCGCTGAGTTTAGAAATTAAGAGAGCAAGGGAATTGTAGAATTGACAAATTGTGACTGATGAGAGGCGACTGATCTGGACATATTGTATGATACTTTTTTTTTTTTTTCCCAATGTTTCTTTGATGTAGACGCAATATAACTGTAAATAGGTGGATATACTTCATGGTAGATAGGATAGTTTTATTGTGTAAGTAGACAGTGATAAAGGAAAAGAAAGAAAAGAAAAGAGTGTTTCTGATAATTGAGTCTGACTTGGTGTCGGGGGAAGTATGCAACTGGCGTTTGTAAAATATGTAGTGGGTGAGTGTTCAGGAATAATGATTATGGTGATGATGATTATGTACTTCTAGTATAGATATAATATTACTCTTCCTATTTATTCAAGCCATGTGGATGGTTTTTAGGATGTAAATAATATGATGGGAATCTTTCCGAAATATGAATTACTAGTAATTTCAAGATCATCATGGGGATTGGTGTGCTTTCAATTGAGAGAAGATTGTAGTATTTCCTGTGTCAGATTGTTCTTGAGCTTGATTGATCTATATGTCGGTATATGAAATGGAAGCTGCTTGTTGTTACAATAATAGAAAGAATAAGAGGAGGGGAAATGATATGGAGATCATTATTTATTCTATTGTTGAAGCTGGCAGTCAAAATTTTCTATTTGTACCTCTAATCTATAATGTTTATTCTCGGTATAAGGAATATATGGTATCTGGGGTCTTATACACGATAAGTACCATATATATGCTACATTTCACCGCTCTACTATTGATACTTAGTTGATAGTAGCAGCTAGGTTACCAGGAAATCAATGATGGGATGCGAAGTCCACTCGTAACCATATGTGTCTATGACTTCGTTGTCATTCGTTGTTCATAATTAAGTAACACGAGAAGGGGTATAGACTGGTATAACAAGGCTAGTTCAAGACACTGTACGGTTGGAGCTAGAGGTACGATGGGAAATGTCCTGACAAGATTCCAAGCTTACCTATACAGTTCTTTGTTTATAAGTTACTCCATGTTATAAGCACATTAGTACTAGCAGTTAGCGTTAACCCATCACTTTCCCTACTGTCATACAATCTTTAGTAATTTGATATCGGGATTTACTTCGTTTCTCGGGCTTTGCTGGTAGATCAAGTTATTCAATGTTACCACCATCCTTCTCTCCAGTTGGGGGTCACATATAGTTCCAACACATATAGTTCAAATCAAGGCACACGGTACTTTCAACTCGGCAAAGTACTTCCCACTAGGAAAGCCAAGCGCCGCACAGGCTGAATTCTATCTCCAGCCAAGCCTTAACAGGCAGGTATTAGGATCAAAAACCACGTATGTTGTTTCGCCACTGGCGTCGGTCTCGGGGGAGTTTAGGCGAGATAGATCTGAAACGCAGGTCGAATGAAACAAGATCATCATTGTGGCTATCTACTTAGTTTTTTTAGATGCAGCAGTCCCGAGATGTCTAACTAGTCGTTGTCTGGTTTAGTTCGTCCGGAGAAACATTCCAGCGAATGATTGTGGTTCCTGATGCGGGATTTCCCTTACTATGGTACTTACTCTGACGGGACAAGTAAGGGAGGAATAGTATATGCTCTGGGCCCATAAGCTGGTGGGTTCGTGCTCATGTGACTATTTTGTGAAATTTGGTTGAGGGTTTGGGTGTCAAAGTAGAGATTGAGATCAGACCATAGGCGCCACCGTAGATACCCCCATACTGGGGTGGTATCGAGAAGGGGTATACTACTAAGAGTCGGTGAACTATATTACTGTTATAGTGGATGGTCGAGGATATACCTACCATGTTCGGGTCACACAATACTGTCACCTAATCCATATGGGCTGGATGGCTGATAAGTGGATGGCTCTAGCCTCCCCCTTGCCCGAAGAGGACGTTGTACTGTCAGACTAAAGTAGGACACTACTATAGCATACCCCATAGGGGCTGCAGTGGAGGGAGGGGTCCCAATTGAGGACAGGCTGACGGAAAAATAATGGGACAACAAAACTTCTCCCCTCATGCAGGCTGATGTCATGGCTCGTGAGACACCCCCCCGCTAGTGCAGTGCATGCTGTATGATGGATGTATACTGATCACACGCGGGTGAGATTTTCATCTGATTTGAGAGAGGGCAGATGATGAACTGTATGCCTGATGTCAAAGATTCAGCTGAAGTGAAAGCAAATTGCTGGCATCTGTGCAAGTGATGCTGTGATGATGGGTAAAGTATGATTTGTCAGTCTAAAGAATGGCTTTCATGCCTGATACAAAATCCATGACCATAAATGAAGATGATGACCGAGACAGACGACCGGCCCACTCCGAGAAGGATTCCTTCGAGAAGCAGCGTTGGGTTTTCACACATGGTACATTGAACAAGGGTAGTCGGGAGCATGATAGGCTGTTTAGATTGGAGCCCCAGAAGTTCCTAATTCAAGTGGCAGTGGATCGATCAGCGGGAGGCAGACGGCGAGAATTGCCCGGAACATGGACTGGCGTTGAGAGCCCGAGACAGGGGAACCTCGAGTCGCTTCCCCGGCATGACTCGCCCTATCGATCGCGTGGGTGAGTCCGTACTAGAGAGTATACAGAGGAGCCCTTAGTTAGTACGTAGTGTTACTTTTGCTGGATACCTCCGCGGATAGTCTGTTCTGGAGATAACCGCCGACGGGGGAAAAGGAGAACTAGAATTAATTTACAATCGTACACGAATGGGGAGTTACACAATGCTGTCCAGTGACTGTGACCCTTGGGGTGAAAAGTAGCAAAATAGGGAAGGAGCGACTTGCGGCCGAAGTGTCTGGAAGGCGGTCCAAGCTTAGTTTGGTTCGCCTGGCAATAACCCCGCCAACGTCAGCGGCGCTTTTGATTGGCAGCAGTTCTGCCCCTCTATGATGTCACTTTTTAGGTATGGAGCACTCTGATAGGCTCACTCTTCCCAGCCAGACCCAAAAAGAACCTTTCCTCGACTGTTCGTTGAATCGCCTCGCCTCGCAATACCAAAGAATCAGAATCTGCGATGACGATGTGTCTGTAAATAGAATATAGAATATAGATCCATTCCCCAACATGAAGTACTTATATAGAATCATTAGATTGACCACTGCTGTAGCAGTTCTCTCGGAATTTGGCCCGAGTTTTCTTTCTTTTTTTTTTTTCCCCTTCTTTATGCAAAATTCAAACGTCGAATGCCCAATGGGCCCCTTTCCATTCCTCCGCTGGCACAAATTCCTACGGTATGAAACGGATCTCTAGGGGATGTTCTTCTGCTCTACGCTCTCTCCCTTCTCGTCTTAGCTTATAAACCCCCCGCAACGGAAGACGGAAGAAGGATCACAGCGTTGGAAGGGCTTCCTTGTCGCATCGCCTTTGGTTCAGTCACCGATTGCCTATGTTTGGTCTTGCAGCGTGTGTACGTCCGGTACAGCTTATTTGATTGACCCCTGAAGGGGCCCAGAACCCTCTCTTTTTTCGGAATGTCGTAACAGGTGAGTGAACAGGGCCCAGATTCGGCTCCGACGCGACAAACCTGGTGACTGGGTTTACGGTCGATTTGTCAACTGAATTCGCAACGTCCCCGGTGAGATTGGTGGACGGCACCACTGCATGACTGCCTCCAGGCAGAGGACAATCCTTCAGCACGATAATACTGTTATTTCCATTCCGTCTCCGCCCACCAGACGCATCACCCCTCGTTTGCCATTCCGAGGCACGTTGACATTCTAGCTAATTCGGTCGACCATGAAAGACACCGTGAAGGAACGAGGTGCCATCCACGTGCAAGTCGTGATCGCGATGTGATGATGCCTGTTAACCGTTCAGAGGCTGGAGGTGGTGCGGTGGTGGGGATCGACGCTCATGGCCGACTGATAAAAAATCGGGAGGGCGGACACCCTACGTCAGTTGTGGTCCTATGATCTCAGCGTGCATCATTCAGAGTGGAGGTCGGATTGGCTCCCTTTTGGCCCGAGAATAGGGCGGTCGGTACAAATCCTTTCGCAGAAGGTAAGAGGGGAAGTAAGACATCGTGGCAGAACTGGGGTCTGGAATGATTCTGTAAAGAAGCGCTGATGACTGGCTGGACACTGAACAAGCACAGGCATTACAATGTTCAACAAATTTGGGATGAAGGGGAGATGGCATTGTGCATGGGTTGGTTTTTGCCCGCTTTTCTTCTTAACCCTTTTCCCTCTGGTCTCGCCTTCCCCACATGGGACGGGCCAATCAGCGGCCCTCACTTATGTGGGATGTTTGACCTGGATATTTTGAGGCTTTTTCTCCCGGCAAATTCTAGTCTCGAGACGTGGGATCGCGTTCGGTTTGGATCTGGGTGAAGTAGACCTACCTACCTACCTACCTACCTACCTACCTTAAAGGATGGTGAAAGAGAAAAAAGAAAAGAGGGAAAATCCTTTCCCTTCACGGTGACAAAGATCGCTGTACACAACGCGGTTCAAGTAGGGAACAGTTTTGTTGAAATAAGGATTAACCATCAAAGACGCGCGAGAAGATGACGCCAGAGGATCTCGTCATCGGCTGCTTAAAACGCTGCCAGAGTCCCGCTCTCCTTTTTCTCTACCCCTCTGGAAATTTCTCTTGTTCGCGCGTTTTTCTGCTCGTCGGTTGATCATCGTGGTTACTCTGCAATATTGATTTTCTTCCCCACCACCACGACGGTTTGTAAGCTTTCCGAGACCACTCATTGTTTGTCTCGGTCAGTGGCTCCCTTTATTGTCTTTTGCCGTTCATTAGGTGCCTTTCTGTATGACTGCTGCAGCCCACCGTGCCGGTGTCCAATGAATTGACCGCTCTGGCTGAACATCGGGCCTGTCAGTTGAGGAAGAAGGCGCTGAAGGCTGAAGCATCGTGGTTCCCCCTCGGTTTGTCCCATCAAGGGCTGGCCCACCGTATTATTCATTCCCGCAATAGCGCCCAAATTCCTAATCATAATTACTGAAGTGAAAAGGTCACAATCATCATCCTTCACTTTTGGAGGTTACTGGTATGGGACTCTCCAAGGGTATTGGTGGGACACAACTTACTTTTGACTCCTAGTAATTATACAGTCTGATCAGGCCTGTACCTTGCCTCTAGTCCGGGTCTTGTTGTTGTGATCATTTTCGTTTCTTCCCTCCCATCGGTTATCCTCCTTCTCCTCCCTCCTCTCCCTATCTGCTGCTCTTGTGTCAGTCAGTTCTTGTGTCTATCGGCTGCCAGCCCAGCCCACTTGCTCCCCTCCTCTTTTTCGTTCCCCTCCACTTTCTGGTTCCTTTTGACGGCGCGCGCCTAACCAGAAAAGATTAAACCCAGCGAAAAAAAATTCGAAAAAGAAAAAAAAAATTAATAAAGAAAGAATTTTTTTCTGAAATAAATAAATAAACTCGATAGGAAAAAAATAGAAAAAGAGAGAAAAAAAAAACAAGCCAAAAGGGAAAGGAGAGCAGAGGTTCACACACACAGAGTGCAACCAACCATCAGCATCGTCATTTCCTTTTACCTCATCCTCCCTCTCTTTTCCCTCTCCTCTCCTCTCCTCTTCTCCTCTCCTCTCCTCTTATTCCCTCCCACTTTCAAGCTTCGCTTTCCCCCTTCTCTTCTTCTTCTGCCTTCTCTTCTATAATCTTATCCACTTGTCCTAATCGGGAACATTCATCTTTCCCACTCTGCCTCACCTTAACTCGCCTTACCGTCGGGTTCCCGTTAATCTAAGTTTAATCTGACCATTGCCACCTCCGCGGTTGCTGCCATACTCTTTTTCGATTCATATACCCAAAGGCATAACCTCAGCTTCTTAAACTGCGGTGGACGGAACTGGTTCCAGGTGGGCAAAACCCCCCTTCTGCTGCTCTGCTTAGCGCCTTTCCCAGCCCATCATTGCTCGGCTGCTCATCCTCTTCCTCCCCCTCGGACAATCACTGCCCCTCCCCCTCGTCCCTCCTGATCCAGACAGCTGTTCCCTTTGCTCGTTCCAAAGGTGGATCCATCCCATCTGGGTGTGTGATGGTGGATTGATATCTGTGCTTCCCTTCTACCCGCTGCCTCTCTTTCCACAATCACTTTCTTCTTATTCTTCTTCTTCTTCTTCTCCCCTCCCCTCCCAGCCTCACTCATTCCCACTAATACCCCCTTCTCCCTCCCCTCCCCATTCCCTGGTGGCAGGTACATCCTTGTTCAAACATTCCCTCAGCCTCACATAGCTAGATTACCTTGTGTGTTGCTCTTGAACTCTCTCTATCTTCTTTCTTCATTCCCCTCATCGACCCCTCCTGACTTTTATCGTTTTCCTATCTTTCTTACTCACGAGGCAATCATACCAAAAGACGAACTGTTGGCCTCCCCAGTTCTGTGTTCTGTGTGTGTCTGCGTGCTCATTCCCCCTCCTTTCGTTGTATATCTCCCGGTTTTATTCTTTGTCCCTGGGCTGGCTTGCCTGACCCTCGTAATACCCCTATTGCGTAGGGCAACATCACGATCGATTCGAGCAGCTGTAACGTCGCCGTTCGGTTCGTGTTCCACCGCTGACATGGGATTAGCCTGCAGATTCTTTCCGTGTAATTCTCAGTATTTCCGTGTTTGCTGCTTGCCAGCTTGGGCCCGGAGAACAGCCGGCTAGATTGACCCACAGAGTCCGAACACGCAGCTTGTCAAAGGACCACTGACTCTTGGTGGTCTCGAGACGTTTGCTCTAAGTCGAAACGACATTGATTCTTGACTCAACACACGAGAACCCAGTCTCGTATTATCACATCATCATGGCGCCCACCACTACTACAAAGACCGTGGAGGAGCCTGTAGGTGTCGCGAAGCCGCACACTGAAGCCAAGGTTGATGCTGACCTCCCCAAGCCCAAGGAGACTAAGGAAATCCCTTCCACATTGGCGGAGATGAGGGGGAGTATCGATGAGAGCACATTCGAGCAGATTCTGGAGATGGATGACGACGATAGCGACAGAGATTTCAGCAAGGGTATTGTGTTTGGCTTCTTCGATCAGGCTGAGAGCACATTTATCAAGATGGAGGATGCTTTGTAAGTGATTGCGCCGCTTGCGTTGTGGTAATCGCGCTAATCAAGCCTATAGGAAGGCAGAAAATCTGAACGACCTGTCTTCTCTGGGACACTACCTGAAAGGTTCATCAGCCACTCTCGGACTCACCAAGGTCAAGGATGCATGCGAGAAGATTCAACACTACGGAGCCGGCAAGGACGAGACCGGTTCGACGGATGAGCCGGACAAGAAGACCTCCCTTTCGCGCATCGAGAAGACCCTGACCCAGGTGAAGGAGGATTACAAGGAGGTCGAGGCTTTCCTGCGCAAGTACTATGGCGAAGACGAGGAATCCGCTTAAACTTCAGGACGAACAGAAACAGAAGGACAGGGTAGAATCAGGCGAGAATTCTGTGTCAGTTAACTGAATATACGCGCGAGAGCGAGGCCACACGCTCCGCCCGAGATCAATGAAATCGAGATCACCAAGTGACAGCATCATCACCACACAGCTATTCCTAAGACTGCGGAAACATGCAGGAAGACAAGCGTCGATCTTGCCGCGGGAATTGATGATTTATTTCTATATTTGCCCCTTGTCTTGGCCCGGGCTTTATTTTCCTAGAAATGTATATGAACCATGAACTAAAAGGAATATGAAGGACCAGAACAAAAGAAAGAAAATCACAACAAAAAAGGTAGATGATATGATACTGGTCGTCCTGCCTTGGTTAGCCTAGGTGCAAGACCACCCTTGGAGGGCGGATGTCGCATGCACATTGCCTTGTGGCATGATCGGGTAGTCGTTGCGAGCCAGGGGGCTGGGTGTGCTTGGACGACCATCGAACTTGAGCAAATACCCCTGGTAGCTTCAGCTCAGGAACAACAGATGAAAGGGAGTAGGTGGTGGCATCGATCACCTCATCCGACCCTCCCTAGATCATAGATATCAGTAGGTGGTAGTTGAGTCGATTTTATCGGGTCCGGTAGCAAGTTCGTGGGCTACCAGACGGGAGTTCTGCCGTGGATTGTCGGACATACTTGAGTATGTACAACCGTTGCCTCACATGCACCTTTACACAAGGACCAGGCTGAGCAACGTTCGGGAGATGAGCTGAAGGTGCCTGTCGTATCCTTGGGATTGTCCCAGCGTTGACCTCCGCTCCGGATCACGGCGGCATCCGGATGTCTGTAAACAACAAATCTTCATCCCTTGAGGAAGGACTCGATGGGGTTAGCAAACGATCAACGGGATCGTCTTTATATTTCTCTTCCTCTGGGGGTGAGAGACGAAGTGATGGGTTGTCATTTCGGTCGAAGACAGGACCCTTTTAAACCAGACTGGGGCGTTTGTTCGTCCGTTAGCGGGGGCGTCTGCCAGGGATGGTAGGGTTAGCCACCACTACCACCACCACCTCATCCACCTCCTCCAGAAGTTACTGTAGCTACTAGCTAGCTGCCTAGTTCATGGCTCGGAAAAGCCAACACAGACACGACTTGGATTCTGGCGGGATGGGACAGGGTCCGTGGCACGACAGATGGTTGGGAGTGATGATGGTGATCATGGGGTTGTGTTGATAGCCCCTACCGTCTGCCATCATGAGAAGGAAAAGGAATCGGAGCATACAGAGGGACTGTTCCATCCAGTTTCTCTTCCTCGACACCCGTACGGTGGGTGCCGGTGTGCTACCATCCATCCATACCAATTGCCAAAGCTGGACGGGAAAGGTGCGGGTTACATTGACAGCCTGTCCTATCTGCCTACCTGCATTCTGTGCGTGTGTCTGTTCGATTTATATCGAATATCATGCCTCAGAACATACACCCACCGAGTACTCACGAGACCGCGGTCAGACAAACTACGTCTTGTTCCCGTCAGTCGGTCAGTCGTGGGATGATCCGAGAGAGCATGACATATAGAGTACCGTCCCAACAAACGGATAGCTACATACTACCTATTCACTAGCTGAGTAGGACGACGGGTATCTTTCTTGCCCCTGGCAATGCAGCGGTGGTATCTGATGATTATAGCAGTGCGATAAGTTGGATCATATGGGAGACATTGTTCTTATTCTTAGTCTCACAAATTGAATCCGTGACTAGCAGACAACGGCTGTGCTGCAGATGGCTAAGCTATGTAGTATACAAGACAATAACACCTGGACTTGCCGATTTTTTGTAGAGTATATCATTTAATTCCTTCATTTCATATTGTCTATTGATTGATCATACATGTGCTGATCCGACGGGACAGCAACATATTCTCCTGAGTACAATCAACCATCAATCAACAATCACCCAAGCAAGCAGCAACAGCAAGCAAGCTAGCAAGCAAGCACTGTCCCCTCGGGAATCCGTGTGACTGCAGACGAAACCGGAATCGCTATCCCTGTTTGATACATATACCCTTACAGTCAATCCCTTCCTTATTTTTGAGAGGACATAGTACCTACAGTACCTACTTAGTGGCGTGAGATATCACTACATACTTATATCACCTACCACACCTCCCTCACCCACCCAACCCAAACCCTCAATAAACACATCCACCACCCCCTCCCCCCACCCCCCTTCTCCCAAACATTGAAAGAATAAGAGAGTGAGAAAGGGATAATGTCCGTCTCCCCCCGCGCCAGCAAAGAAGAATTCATGGCTGCATTAGGCCTCTCGACACACGATCCCCAACACGAGCAATACTACCGCGCCATGAGAGTATGATATAGATCCCCATCCATACTACTACCTTCCCCCAAATCAAACCCTCCTCTCTCCTCTCTCCTCTCTCACCCCCCAAAACTACTACTAAATATGGTATCTTTCAGGACGAAGCAATCTCCACCTACAACCACCTCAACGAATCCCCCAGCAACCTCCTAGACAATTACAAAACCCTCAAACCGCCGTATTTCTGGCACCACATTCGTCCGGAGCGCCAGCGATGGGGCATAAATGAGATAGCGAGGAACGCGAGCCCCCTTACGAGACCGTTGTTTGCCCGTGGGATGACTACGGGCGAGTATGGGCCGAATTGGGTGGCCGGGTGGTTGTTGTATAGTGTTTTCAGGAGTAGGGATGTGAGGAATAATCGGAATAGGAGGAGGGGAGGAGTTGTTGTTGTTGGTGGTGTTCAGGGTGGGGAGGAAGGTATGTATATTTTTTTCTATTAATATTTTTCTTTTTCGGTTGTTTTTACTTTGGTTTGGGTTTGGGTTTGGGAATTTGGGGTGAGCGATGGAAATGTATGTGAGTTATATGTACAGTAGCTAACTATTGCTGTATGTATGTACTAGGTCGGGCGAGTTCTCCTCAGATGGGAGTGAGACATGATGGCGGTGCTTCAGTTGGTACTGCTGCTGGGGGTAGTAGTGCTGCCAGTTCTGGGATTGGTAGTAGTGCCAGCAGTGGAAAGAAGGAGTATTATGATCCTGTTCGAAATGGTTGAGCTTGAGTGCAATGCAACGGGCATGAACATGGGGGCTGTGTATAGATCAATCTCCATCCTCTTCATCATCACCTCCTTTTCCTCTCTTCCCATTCTTCTGCGTCCTCTCCTGCTTCAACGCCTCCGTCACCCTCTCATCCCTCTCATCCTTCATCTCATCCCACTCCACATCATACTCCGCCGCAATATTCTTAATCTCCTTGCGCAACGTATTCCCCTCATCAATCAATGACTCCCACAGCTGCAAATCAATCCCCTTCTCCTGATACAGCCTCTTCTGCCGCGCATTGATCGTAAAATCCAACGCCGACCGGTACGATATCTCCCGATTATGGTACAAAAACCAGAGATATCCCCCCATCAGCGTCGACAAACTCACCAGATACGTCACCGGCTCCATCGTATCCCATCCCAGATCCGTCTCAAACGTCAACCTATACACCAAGTACCACCACATCGCCAGAATCCCCAGCCCTCCCATCGCCACCCGCTGCGCGCCCCGGTGTGCCAGCGCATCACACTCGTGCTTGATCTCCGCGATGCCCTGGATCCGTCCGGAGACCTTCCGTAGTCGCATCCGCAGGAAATATGTCCGCTCGTCGAACGATGGCACCGCCACACGGATCTGATGTACCCCGGCTGGTGCGCCTTCCACGGAGACGATGAATTCCCGTGCCCGTGCTGCGTCGCGGATGAAATCGCCGATCTCGGTGGATTGAGACCAGCGTACGAAGCGCTGCTCCCTTTTGTCACCTCCACCTTCTGATCCCTCGCCCTTCTTGCTGGGCTCCGTTCGGCGTAGGTACGTGTACGTGTCGTCTTCGGTGGGAGCTCGTTTGCCTTCGCCGTCGTCGATACGACCCATCTCATCGAGCTGGTGGACTTCTGCGCCGGTGCCTTCGTAGACGGCTTTTCGGGGCCGGATGGGGTGGTCTTCGATCTGGAGGGCGATGAAGGAGACGGTTGGGGGGCGAGTCTGGCCGTCTTCAGTTGTTATGGCTGGGACTTCGGATTGGATTAGTCGTTCTAGGTGGGAGAGTGGTTGTTGGGGGTGGACGAGAATGGCGATTGGTTCGATGTCTGGGTTGTCAGTATCCCATTCACCACATCACATCAAGTCAATTTAAAAGTACCACACCTTTATGCTCTCCTTGAATCCCAGTTGACAGCGGAATTAGTAGCTTGAATAACCTCGATGGCGTGGTTAATAGCTTTCCTATAATAAACCACATTAGCATCCCATCCCTATCCTTTGATCTCAAAATAGAGATAGAGATATACCCTTCGTCATCGCCTCCTCCAACTTCCCCCTCCTTCCTTCTGCTCCTCCTGCACACCCCCCGTGCGATCCCGTAGTCTCAATCTCTCCAGTTGCTCTTTCGTTCGGGTGTTTCTCATCCCACTGCCGCCAGGGATTCCAGTACGAAACCACCTCCGGTCCAGTGGCGTGTAGACTGCACCACAGCCAGCACGTAGCATATACGTGCTAGTACCATTATACCCCCCTCTTGTTGTCGCAGCGCCTAGTATAGCAGGGGAAGCACTGCAGACGTGCCATTGTGTACTAGGCGCAAGTGGAAGCGCAAGCCCGACTCGATGAACTCGACCCAGAATTGACCGCATTGCGGTCACGTCATCGGCTTATTGGAAGTGGAAGGTCATATATGCACTTTATCTTTTTTAGTAGGTAATGTATATAGATCGACCAGATGGGGAATGAAAGCTGCGCTGGGATCAGGGGTAAAAGACACCGGTAGAATCTAATAGCTTTGAATTAAGATTAGTCTAGAATGTAATTGTCAAAGGGGTAATAATAAGAGTTACAGGTGAAGAAGTGCCTTGGAAGATAAACTTCATAACGTAGTCAGTTAATGTATGACGTACGTCATGATGAGTCAGCTGTGATGGTTGCTGTTGTGGAGACGCGTGTGTCATGTCTATTGTTCGGTTGAGGGAGGCGAAGCAGAGGTTAATTTGTGATGTTAAGGAGGCTATGATGTGGTTGATGATGGTGTTTAGCGTCATTGGGGTGTTGTTCCTGAGGTCAGGGTCAGGAGGGTTGGTGGTGGTGTTTGATTCATGATTTGAGGTGGTGGGTGGTCTAGACCGCTACTATGTACCTTCGCAGCAGCAGCAGTAGTAGGAGTGGTCGGTGATTTCGCCTGCATAAAGTATACAACTTATCAATTGAGCGCTCATCCATCAAACCACCACCCAAGATAGTGATCGCTGGCCACCCATGCAATCAACCAAATACAACCAACTAAAGTATCTGGAATCAATCTCTGTTTTCCCCGTATGACCAAATTCCATCGTCCGTATCCATATCCATACCATCACCGCTAAAAGCGACACCCAACAAATATCCATGAACAAAGAAAAGCATTTCGATCTATCTGGTATTCAAGTCATGTCGTAAATCGTAGCATCATCATGTATCCCAGTATCCCCTCTGCTTCCATCCCCTCATCCCCCGAAGGGAATCATTTGCTCCAAGCTCCTGCTACTGTCCAAAGGCAAGCGCCCTCGTCGGTCCAACACCCCTTCGATCCAATCTTCCTTCACAACTCTCCGGACTGCTCCCACCACTTCTGCTCTCGCCACTAGTCGACATATCCGTCTCATCACCGTATCGTCCCTTTCTTCCCGTGCCAATGGCGACCGGAATTCCCTGAATAGGTCCTCCCCTGTGTTCATGCCCAGCAGGATACATGCCGTCATTGACAGAGAAGTTGCGACAAATCAGGTACGCGCGCATCGCTGCATTCTCTTCAGCCAGAGTCTTCGATTCACAAACGTCCTCCGTCTGGTATTCCCGGTTGTTGACTCGGACGATGCAGGTGTAGCCGCCCCCAACAGCATAGGATTCGTAGGCGGGATCTGCCCAGTGCCGGCGTCGGCAGAGACCTGTACATTATGTGTTAGTAACCTGCTGGTAAAAATAAAGATGACGATCGGGATCGTTGTGTTAACGCTCGGTCGCTCCGAAGGGCGCAAATTCCCCGAGCGATCGACAAATCACAGAAGGTGTAGATAAGAAATCGCATCGCCTTGAGTCAGGAACAACCACCACCACCGCCGTCGGCTCGATTCCGGCCATTGTTGCTTTTCCACAACATGCATGCATGCATGGTGTCTGACATCAATCGTGGGAAAAACAGCGAGCATGGCCACTTGGAGGCGTTGGTCTGACCCAATGGCATAATCAAGAGGAAGGGGGAAGAGGGAGGTCGGACGAATGGCAAACGAAATCATCTACATACTTGCGAGGTAGAGAATATAGTACATCGTGAAGACCAGTAAACGGCCAATGGAAGGTATAGCCCTGGACGGTATCGGCCCAGTATTCGTTGCCCCAGCTCAGATCGAGACAGCACCAGATCCTGGGCAGTCACACCAAAAAGGTACCGGCACGAGTCTATGTTGACAGCGATGGTTGGTGCCCAATGATCACTCAGTCACTCAATCGCTGCCTCTCATATGACGGGCAATGGTTGCTGCTATTTTTGTGTGATTCCTTTTTTACAATAGCCAAAGAGCCCTGTTCACCACAAGCGGGCCGTGACGGTCGACAACGCCTAGTATAGATTGATGCAAACAAAGGGTACGAAGGACCGTGAGGGAAGGAACTAGCGGCCGAGGAGAGTCAAGCAGCATGCCTTACACTGGCGGAGGACAGGAGAAACAAAAAAAAAAGAAAAGAGAGGCGAAGAATATCATGCTGGCTCAGGTATAGTCCGCTCAAATAAACAGGGTGGGGCTGGTCGTTGATAATTATTCCAGTTAAAGGGGAGGAAAAGGGTAGAGAGAGACAGCGACAAGAGAGACACCGTAGGGGAGAAAAATAATTACCAAAAAGCAAAAAGAAAATTAAAAATTAAATCAACCATTTCAATCAAAAGAACGGCTCTCCACCGGCTCTTTCAACCTTCTCCACAGATTGGCCGAGGAGAAAGGCAATAGACGAATACCCTCCTCCCAAAAACGGTTCTAAACCTCACTAGCTTTGTCCGTCTTGTCGCCTTTCTGCTTGGAGAAAGCAACATGGCAAGCGCGGTCCAAACCCTGATGCGCTGGCATGGCTTTTCACCAGTGGTCCCGCGCAGAAAAGATCCAGGACGTCCTAGCCCATCGGCCACCGTGTAATTCGCCGCCGATCCAGGCGGCTAACATATTGACATGTTGTTCAGGATAAGAGCTTTCCGGGCTAATCGGTCGATTCGGTCTACCATTCTTGCTGCAGAACGTGGGCCGGTTGTTCTGGGCATGCTTAGAAGGCGCCAGTCCGTAGTCAGCGCGGTCTTTTTGTGAATTTTTATTTTTCCTCCATTTTCCTTGCGCGTCCCCTCCCCTCCCGATCCTTCGGTCTGAGATGGATCCATAAACCCCGCAGTGTGTAGAGGGAACAACGACTGTCGCCCTGTCAAGCAAGTCGCAACGAACGTAATGGAAGCACGGGAGAAAGACTCAAGGAAGGAGGCGTCGTGGAATCCCGCTAATGCACATTGATGATACATAACAAGGGGTTGATGTCGCGCAGATGAATCCTGGCATGGAACCACCAGAGAGAATTGGTTGCTGGCGGACTTCTTTGTACCATGGGCCGATCGTCCCTACTGGAGGGGAAGCAAGAATACCACCAATGATGGAAGAAATCCCCGTTGGACTCGACCGTAACTTATTTTTTCTCCCCTCTGGTCGGGTCAATGCTGAGACGATCATGACCCTCGACGACTCGGTAAGCCATCCGAATCCGCTTCCCTTAGTTTTAGCAGACCGCTTCCTCGGGTGCCTCCTGAGTAATCCTCATGTTAAATGACCTTGAACCCTTCCAGAGGGCTAAAGACCCAAATGTAGAAAACACCCGAAAAAACAAAGGTCCCTAAAGGCCTCTTGCTATCAGACCCCAATTCACAAATCATCCTGGAATGTATCGGCTGCCGCGTGAAAAATCCGGATAGGCTCCAAACTGGCTGGAGTGGATCAAGCTCAGATTGGTCGAGGCGTTGGATGTTGTTGACAAGCAGGCATCGCGGATGCAATGATGAGTTGGCAATTTCGCTTCGTGCGGCGGGGAATCCATGCCACTTCGACACGAAGTGAGCAGAGGATGAGGAGAATGGAGGAGGGTTAGTTAACCTTGCAGAGTAACCTGAGAGGCTTTTCCTCCCTCTTATTCAGCACCACCCCGGGGAATTTGGCCTTTGGCTCCAATTTGACACCCGTGGGGCCACTGCCTTTTCTTCCCTCATTTGACTGATTGACGGGTCGCAGCATATTTGCTCAGTGTGTCTGTGCATGGTGTGTAAGTCCGTCCTTTTTCCTGGTGGCCCTCGCGTCGCGATGGTGACATGTATCGCTTGGATGCTTGTGGAAGCGAGGGCGGGTCATGGTTTCTTTCCCCTCTATTTCTTAGCCGCCTTGTTCTTTTCTTACTTATCGTGGTGTTCATTCTTGGAGGCGCCAGGGATGGGGTCAATTGTGGGAGAATGCTCAGTCAAAACTGTTCCTAGTCTGAGCATTGCCGGGACCGTTTCAGCGGGCGTTTCTAGTTTCAGAGAGTCTACTGGAGAAGACCCCAAGTGGTCGAACTCTGAGCAGCTGATGTCGCACCAAACAGTTTGACCCCGGATCTCGTCGCAAGGCAGACAGAATCAGTAGTTTGATCATCCATGGTAGCTGCTTCTGGCTATCTCATCTGTATGACTACCATTTCCTGGTTGCTTTGATTCCTGGCTGGAACCTACTTCCCCTCAGTGCGGAGGCCAGCCAAAACTATCTTACATGCGTGTCACAAGCTTATGGACAATTGATTCTTACATGCGTCGTACTGTACAAAACATACTTTTCATTGATATAGTTCCCCTGCTCGATATCGGCACCCGTCCCATCACCACTCGGGCTTGATTGGACGTCGCTCGCACCATACCCGCAAATTCTCTGCGGCCGCATGGGGTACCACGAAGATCGGGTGGAAGGCCTTCAACCGGTCCTTCTCATCGAATACATTCTGGTCGGAGGATGCGTCATCCAAAGCAGGGATAGGAGTGCATTTCCAGGAATACGCCGAACCAAAGCCTTCATCAGAGCTGATGCTGGAAGTGGTATGGTAATGATGATACTGGGCCGAGCTCAAGCCCGTCAGCGCGTAGCAGGTGTGGTACGAATCCGGATGCCTAGTAGTTATCGTTAGCCTGGCCACACTGTGGAAGGGATCGGAAGAGGAAGGGAGTTGCGTACTTTCCAGGCTTATCACGGAGCCCCCCGTACTTGGACTGGCAACAGCCAAGGATATATCTGGTTAACCCTTCACGGCTGTAGAGATTGGCAGGGACCCGCTCCGGACCTGTAGCTGACTGAACCCCATTGAGGGCAGACTGAACTAATGGCCAGCAGGTGCCGACCCAATGGCTGTAGCAGCCATCCACCAGTTTATTGGTTCTCCCCGAAAACCCTCCTTCGGGGGCGTACTGTCGAGCAGAAAGCCAGCTCAGGAGTAAAGGAACATCCATGCACCTGACGTTATCAGCGGAAGCGGGGAGAACATGAGAATGCGGCCTCTTACCTCGACACCACCACTTCTGGTGGGCCCATGAGGCACAGACATGCCAAAGCACAGAAAGTATAGGCGCCATGTGCCTCAGAACCGGGGCTTCCGGAAATGCCGCCTTCGTATGTTTGGCCTGCAGCCAGATTAGTCTAGCCCGGAAGCTTGGGGATGTGGAAGCTCTTACACCTCGACAGATACTCCGAGAGGCCACTGGTAAACGTCTCAAGACCGTGCTGCCGAGCTTCGGCATCAGAAGGTAGTTCCAGTGGCAAATTTAGTAGCGAATGGACCACCATGGCGCAATAGGCGCCTCTGACCAAAATTTAGCAAAAAGCAAAAGGGGTATGCGAAGCAAGCAACGGGAGAAAATACCGCACGTCTTCTTCCCCGCCCGCGCAGACCCTAAAGCCGCCGTCAGGCTGCTTCAAACTCCCTAGCCATCTCCACCTGGTCTAGGTCAGCATGCATTGATGCTCAAGTCAGGTACCGCAATTACTCACATCGCCTCCCGATCGATCAGGTTGAATGCCTCTTCGCCTCCGACCATGGCTAAAGCGAGCACTGTGGCATAGCTAGAGGCGCAGTGGGACAGTTGCCCGTGGCCTCCGCCCATGCCCCCTGTAGGATTTTGCATTGGCGTAAACGTGGAAACGACACTAAAGAGAGGACTTAGACAATGGTCGTAGACAGAAAGACAGCAATTGAGAGCCAGAATCACAGCAGCCATGATCAATCTGCAGTTTCCAAGCGCACAGCTCAGTGATTGCTTACCGTTCACGGTATTTGGTGACATCTTCCCCCAGGAGGCTTAATCCAGCCAGCACCCAGTAGACCATCCAAGGCCGGCTTGCATCCATGCCAGCGAAGCCCTCTGGATAGTCCTCCAAAGAATCGTACAAGTAGATAAGGTGGTCATTCTGATTCAGAGCTGGCACGCCAAATCGATTGAAAGGACCTGCCTGGCTGTTGTGAATGCCTTTCAAGAAGGGCAAACATTTGTTGACGGTCTCACTTTGGACCTCAGAGGACTCGGTGCACAGGGCATCTAGGAGCAAAGGCAGCTCTTGAAACAAAGCCGGAACTCCGGGATGTGGTTGGGGTTCATACATGCCGCCGCTGCTGTTGCTGCGCTGATCTAGCGAGGTGTGCTTTTTGGATGTAGGCGCCGAGGGCTGATGGCGACCTATTGACGAACTAATAGATTTGGTGTCTCTACCCTGCGCGTCTGTTGGTCTGGATGTTTGGTTGGATGAGAAACGAACTTTGCGACGCGGCTTCCCTGCGGCAGCGATAACGATCGGCATGGAACTTCCTGGAGTTCGAATATATAGATTCGGGACTACTGTTTATTGGCGCGATCGAGAATGATCGAGATGAGCCTGGGTCCGATTGTTCTCCTCTTCATGAATGGAGATGACAGCTGCCATGGCCGCCCGCAGAATCCATTGTTCTTTCTCCCCGCCGCAGTTGCAAGTCAGGTGGGCCCCTCGTCGACTCCTCAGGCCAGAAGGCCCCAGTCGAGTTGGGCGAACAAACCAAGTGCGCAAGTTAGATAGTAGAACCTCGGTTCCGCAAAGATAAGGCTGCCATGGGAAGACGGTATAGTTGGCTGATGGGGGAATCGTTTCTTTATCCTCAGTTTTGTCAAAATCTTACATGGTGGTGTCAACCCCATACTATGTGGTATGTTGGTAATTGGTATAAACCAGCACGTTCCCGAGGCACCACCATCTGCTTCTCTGTTTTTCCTTTTTCTTCATGACGGATGGATCCCGTGACCCCCTTTGTTCCTTTTTTCGCAGGCAGCCAGCCCATCGCCGATGAGGAATGGATCGCCGCCTTCACTCTCCCACTCGGGCTAGCGGGCATTCCGGTCGGCGGCCGGAAGTCTTAACCCTAGTAGACTAAGATGCAGCTCCTTCAGTCTCCATGACTCGACCATGAGGGGTCAAAGGGTCTCAGGAGAGCTTCTCCTCTCCCTCCAACCTCTTTCCCCCCTATCCTGTCTCTTTGTCTAAACGTTGAATCATTCGGAAAGAAGCTCCAGTGGTTTCCCGACCCTTCCAACCCTGTCCTAGCCGACTCAAGCGACGGGATTGAGCGCGCGCATCAAACCAGGCAGGATTTAAAGTTATTGACGCTGAATTTTAGTCGTCTACAAAAAGTCTACTACCTAGACTACGTTGTCTTTGACTAAAGATTTCGGGCACTGACCATCGACACTACTGCAGATCCGCTTCCCGTGTGTGTCTCCTCTGTGACCTCACAAACATCACGGCCGTGCTAATAATAAGATTTTCATGGCTGCTGCGACTTAAGCGCCAACGTCGTCAACCGGCGTATCCGTCTGGACATTGTTGGCTCTGGAGGCATTAAAGCGACGCGCTGGACATAGTATGTATGGCTTGCGGCCGCTGGCGTGGCGAGCTGCGAGTCAGAAGTCCGTGGTGCTGATATGTTTCATAGCCGGCGAATCGAGTTGTCGAGCCCCATCGGAGTGGAGTTCACGGGCTTGGATTTCATATGCAGAACGTTTCCTTACGCCTGGCTGGCTCGTTGCCTGCTTTAGGGAGGTGTGTCTGTTTCCTTTTTCCCCTTCGAGGGAGCTTCCGCGGGCCAAGACCGTTTTGGTTTCTTTTTTACCTTTCTTTGCACGGCCCCGTGGAGGAGGTGACCACCCCAATGGTGCTGACATAGCCCTGCGCTTGCATGTTTGTTGAGAACCAATTTTGGATCTGTCACGTTTTCCCTCCCCATTTTACGAGCCGTGTTGGCGGTTATGGGAAATGTCTTTGTCGACCCTTGCTAAAATTATCTAAACGGGTGGGGTCACGGAAGTCACAAGGAAAAAAGTGGGAAGGCCAAGTAAGAGGAGAACAGAAAAAGGACCCTGTAACGACGGAGGAAGAGACATCCGCAGCATGTACATGCCAACGCGCCGCGGGATTGCATATGCCTATCTTCATGATGATGACTTACCCAGAATGGTAGGACGAAGGGGAGTCGTGAAGTTGCCTCGACCCTTATCGACTCTCTTCATCATCTCATCATTTCATCATCGTCAGGAGAGAGATGCAGATAAGGAGGGATGATGTGCTCTTGCGGGATTCCTAGGAGGGGAATCGTACAGTAGTCGTACCTAGTTGGCCTCGAGGGGCAAGGCCTGTGGCATGCTCATGAACCTTGGAGCTACTGCACCGTCAGCCACCTTGTTGGCACGAAATCAACATGTGTGCGCCAGTGATTGCCCACTGATTGGGAGGATGGGCGTTATTGGGCCGAGATGATTATCACCTACCGTGAACTCGCAGGCCATCCCGGTCGAGGGACTGGGGGTGGAAGGGGACGAATGGCAGCCGGGACCAGAGGCTGCTAGATGTATGTAGGTAAGCCCGGACGTACATCAACAATAGTCCTCCTGTCCACCCTCGTTGAACCTGAAGTTTGCCTGTCACTGGCGAAGACTCACGCACAATACAGTTTATGTCTTTGAGTTCGGTGGTACGGAGGCGTTGAGTCAGCGAGGGTCCTTTTCCGAGCAGTCGCTCAATAGTAACTCAAAGAGAGATGGGTTTAGTTTAACACTAACGGCCCTCGGGGCAAAGCGACGAAGCAGGAAAAAGAAATATTGCCACGGCCGACCTTCGATCGGAGACATTTGCCAATAATCGTGGCGCCTTAGTCAATAATGCTCCATCGAGTCCAGTCTCAACCGATCTTTGACGGTTTCCACTGATCTCCCTTTCCCGAATGTGATCCCGTGTCTCGACAACGGAAAATTCCGTCCGGTACCGCGGTAGCCCAAAAGCAAGCAGGCTTTTTGTTGATGATTCCATTCCAAGGGCGAAGTAGCACTACAGCTCGAGGTGCTACTATGCTACTACTACGCTACTATATCACTAGTTGACTGACAACAAATCATCTGCCTGATGACTTTTCTTTTTTGGAAGGGGGAGTATTCATTCTGAGCGAGAGGTACTACTGACGTAGGGCAGTGCTACGCTGGAAGGCAGTTGGGAGAGTCACTGGTACATAGCCGGTACGTGGCTCGGACGTGGGACGCCAACGAGAGTAGGCTAATCCGATGCATGGGCGTATGGGGCTAGTACTGCCGTCGCGCGCATCCCATGGTCAGCAGCTACTAACAGTAACTAACCCACTTGGCCTAGTCTAGTCTTTTATTTTTCCTTTTTGCTCTCTTTTTAACTCGGTTGGTAGGCTTCCAATTTGCCCAAGATCGAGAAAGGGCTGATAATCATGAGACTTGTCAATTGAACAGTTAGCAGTACGTAGTGGTTCGATCCTTAGGTCATATTGGGTTAACCGGTCTCTAGCATATTGTGAGATGTAGGGTCCTACAGATTGAACTCAGATAGGACTAGTGTGAAAGACCATGTTGGCTCTTTTTTCTGTTTTGTTTCTTTGGAGTGGCACTATTCTGTCTGCCTTTTTTTTCTTCGTTGTTGTTTCTTTTCTTCTGTTCCAATTTTTTTCTTCATCAAGTTTTTTTTTTTTTTTAGTTACTTCCTTTTTTTTCTTTTGTGGATATCATCTCTTTCTCCATTTTGGCGCCCGGGGAAGAAAAGCAGACTACTGTACGTGCTAACCTAGGACACAGTAGTAGATTGTAGATAGTAGTGAGTACTGATAGTAGTTCATCAGCTGTGGATGGAGTAACGCCACTCCAATCAGGTAGGAAAGGGTCGTGGCATTAAGCCCACCCGGGCGGAGGGGATGCAACCCAGCCTCTCTTTTCCAATTTTCCCGGGACAGAGAGGGAAGAGAGTCAGTCAGTCTTTTTGACTTCGTTCACGAATCCCCACTTCGGATGGTGATAACTCCTTCCCAGGATCCCCTAGCGTATCTCCGGCCGACGCAACTCCCGCCTCACCGCTGCTTTGCTCCCCACCGCTAGCCTGGCTTTTGCCCGCCATGGCCTCATCCTATCGCCCGTCCTCGTCCTCTTCTTCTCGCTTTGCACCCCCGGATTCTGGGCTTTCTGCTCATCCGAAGCCCTTCTCTGGTCCTCAGGCTTCATCAGTCACCATTCCATCAATCAGTATTCCCACGTCTTCCTCCTATCCCCATCCCCATCCCCCAATCCCCTCCCACACCCACCCATATTCTTCACGCTCTTATTTGTTTTTTGTACCCCCCAGCGTGTGTCTATCTGTCTGTCTGTCTGTCTAACTTCTGTCTGTCTATTTGTCTATCTGTCTGTCTTGCTGTCTGTCTATCGCTTGAGTTTTATTCTTATTTTCTTTTTTTTTACTCTCCCATCTTATTCATTTCTTTTTTCCCCTCCTCTTTTATTTCCCTCTTCAAAGTGTCCAGCAAAGTTCATGCAATCCTTTCCTTTTCTCCCTCTTCACCGTTGGTAAATAGTTTCCTGTTGTCAGCATCATGTCGAATGTCGATTTATCAAGCGACGGCTTCATTGGCCTGGACTACGACTCGAGGAATTACCTCCAAGCTCACTCATGGCCCGTGGCGGTGGACCACCAGGCCTCTCAGCGATCCGATGGAGCGCGAGACATCTCGCCCTTGCAAACCAGCGGTCACGCTTATGATCAATCGGTAGCTCAGGATCCTAATCTGATGGTCGACTGGCACTTCCAGCACTTGCAACCCCACCTTCAGTACTCCCATGAGGAGGCCTCCTCCGCTCCCCAGCAGTTCACCACCGCCGCTAGCTATGGCATGTCTATCCACTCTTCTCCCGTGGATCTCATGTCTGGAGCCCACGGCCACATGAGCACGAGCCTGCTCGATGGCTCTTATCTGCCCCTCTCCGCGCCGGTCGACATGGTTCCATTCCCTTACCATGACCTCCAGGCCGACCTCATGGCGTTCCCTCCTGCCGATGGCTTACCGGATCTGTCCGCCTACAGCGCACCACAGAATGTCCTGGAGAGCAGCTCTCCCACCGACACTTACCTGGAGGTCCGATCTTTGTCCAGTAGCGACAACGGCTGGAGCACCATTGAGCCCCGTCGCTCTCATGAATTTTCCTACCCGGACCAGGGCATCTTTATCAATCCTACCCAGACGCTCCACGACCGGTCTCTGTCCGAGTCGTCTTATTCCACGTCATACGGAAGCTTCGTGGAAATCACGAATCCAATCAATTCGCCCAGCTCTGACACCAACTTTGACACTGCTTTCAACCACAGCATGACTCGTCGGGTCTCTTACGACCACACCTCGCATGGTTCTCAATCGCCTACGGCGGTTAGCCCCGTGGCCATTGTGCGGCCCATTCCGGTGCCCTCCAAGAAGGCGTCGACCCCGCCTTCTCGGTCCGCAGGATCAACTTCATCGGCTTCCCCTCCTAGCCGGAAGCCGTCTCGTAAGAGCCCGATCGCTGCTAAGACAGCCGAGACCAAGGTTCGTAAGCAGTCGCAAAATGGAAAGCCAGAGACCGAGAAGCGTGTTGGCAAGCGTAAGGGCCCGCTCAAGCCGGACCAACGGAAACAAGCCAGCGAGATCCGCAAACTGCGCGCGTGTTTGCGTTGCAAGTTCCTGAAGAAGACTGTAAGATAGACCCCACCTTAGCGATGCGACATACTGATTGAGTAAATAGTGCGACAAAGGAGAGCCCTGTGCGGGCTGCCAACCCTCGCATGCGCGATTGTGGCAGGTTCCCTGCACGCGGATTGACATCAAGGAGATCGGCTATTTCATGAAGGACTGGAAGGCGGACTACGATCGTCACGTCAACTATGATTTCACGGTCGGAAACATCAAGGGGTTCTCGGAATTGGAGACGACTCTTTTCATCACTCATGGCTACGGTCAAGTTCTTCCCATCAACGCCCGCGAGGTCTACGTACACGATGATCAGTGCTTCAAGGTCGACTGGGTGGAGTCTTTGCACCGGGAGCCGACGCCATACGAGGTGGAAACGGCCAGGCTCTCCGCTGGAATGGAAGGCATCTCGCACGCTATGCTCTCGGATTATCTGGATCGCCACATTGACGGCAACGGAACGTTTGAGAAGTTTGTGGATGACTACTTCGAAGGCACACCTTTCCTGACGCAGATGCTGAAGACGGCCTTCCGGTATTACTACCGCACGAAGTTGCCGGTGATCCGCAAGGCGTTGAAGCTTATCATTGCCTACAACCTGACGCTGCACGTTACCATGGTGGAGGGTATTGGCGAGGAGGAGCAGTTCAAGGGCAAGATCAATGACACGACGTCCAAGTTCAGTGGCAAGACGATAGCGCCTGTGATGGTCAACTTCCAGGTCAAGTGTGCCATGGCGAACATGTGGCGAGAGTTGCAGAAGGACGTGCTGGAAGAGCTGTCTAGCCTCTACTCAAGTGTCTACAGTGGAGAGAAGCTCAAGAACTGGCCGACAATTTTCATCCTGGCTTCGATACTTCTGGCCGTGTGGGAGGAGATGCAGTTTGACTGCCATTATCGTACTCCGGTATGTGGAATGAACGTGTGTGCAAGCCGTGATGCTGACGTGTCGCAGGATGCTGCCGCTGTTGATAAGTTCTGCAATGATATGGAGACCACACCGGTGGGAGTCATCGTCGGTCTGTTCCAGGCGATTTCACAGAAGCTGCCTGCGTTTACGGACTGGGAGACGACCAAGCACCACCACCTGCTGCACTCGAACCCCGATGTCTGCAACACAATGACCGAGGTCCGCCAACATGTTACGCAATTTGGTAAGCGCGAAACTGAATTCTGGTGCGTCTGTGCATTGCTAATCGTTCTGTAGAGAGCTATCTTCGGGGCCGTAACGGTTCCAAGTTCAACCGCAATGACTTCGACTGTTTATCCAACAAATTTGTCTCCCGACTTGTGATTCGCGCAAACTAAACGACGTGTAACGAGCTTTGAGATGACGGCATTATGATTATGACACCAGCCCGGCATCAGCGAGCGCCTTGCTTTCGTACTTTCGCCTTGTCATCACGAAGCTTTTCATTCCTTTGTTTTACGAGGCTCTCTGGGCGTGGGAACCCGGAGGGCCGCTCTAGCCTGAAGCATCTGTCCGATTTAGCAACCTTTTACCTTCTCAGTGGTATACCTTTCTCGCACAGTATTTACAATAGCGATGATGAGGATCACGAATGTCATGATATTGTACGGTCACGACCTGATTGGCAGCGGACGACGAGGGCAACTGCGTTGCCGACTCATGCTGGAGGCTAGTTCTCGCTTCATGAAGCTGCGTGTTTGCATTTGTGTCCTTGATTAGCGTGTTTATAGGATGAATCATGATTAAAAGTATGAGATGCCAGTAGCGTATGCAATACCTTACTACCCCTTAAAGAATGTAGTAGTAGAAGCATTGACCATTGAACCCACCACACATTCCACACAGCCCAAAAATCAGTCATAAATCATCCTCGGCACAAAATCTGGGGGAGATTACATAACCATCCTCACCACTGATCGACGCGTCCCAACGATCCACTAGTCCCTACCTACCCTTCTACTTATCAAGCTACACTACTTATTTTCCCTCTTTCCTTCACCACCACCATTCCACCACCACCACCACAACAACAACAGTACATACACCCTCCCCTCCCATCACCCCCCAAGGGAACCAACAAAAGAAAAGATGGGACTATCTCGCCCCTACCTCCTCCTCTACAACGCCGCCTCCCTCATCCTCTGGGCAACATGCACGATCCGAGGCCTCTCGCAGCTCTTCTTCTCTCCGAATACCATCCCCCAAATATTCACGAACGTCTACCCCCTCCTCCTAACAACCCAATCCCTCGCCCTACTGGAGATCATCCACAGTCTACTCCGTCTCGTGCGCGCGCCTGTCCTCACCACCGCCATGCAGGTCGCTAGTCGCATTCTGCTTGTCTGGGGAATCATGTATCTGTTCCAGGGTGTGATTGTGGGGGAGAAATATGCTGCTGCTGGTGTTGGTGGAAGTCAGGAGGTTGTTGGACTGGGTGATTATGCCTTCTTGGGGTGTTTGGGCGCGTGGGGTGTGACGGAGTGTATTCGCTATGGATTCTTTGCCCTGCAGTTGTCGGGGGTTGGGGTGCCGGGGTGGTGGGCTTGGTTGAGGTGAGATTCTTGATTCCAATAATTTCTATTTGGTGGTGGTGTTATTGCTAACCTGGGGATGTTGTTAGGTATAACACCTTCTATGTGCTTTATCCTCTTGGTATCTCCAGTGAGTGTCTTATGGTGTACAAGGCGTTGGGGCCTGCCGGGGAGTTGGTGAGTCCGTTGTATCGGTGGTTTTTGATTGCGGTGTTGGGGATTTATGTTCCTGGTGAGTTCATCTTTCTTCCTTCCTTCTTGGGGAGAGGGGGGTGCTTTTGTATTAAGGGTATGTGCTAATTTGGGTAGGGTCGTATATTTTGTATACGCATATGATTAAGCAGAGACGCAAGGCGATGAGCAAGAAATAGGTGTGTTGACTGAATAAATTGGGGGTGGAGATACGTGGTGGTGTAAGGTTAGAAGAGGTGGATCTGTATGATGGTGATATACTGGTGTAGTGGTATAGATGGATATAAGCTCGGCACGATAATACATAACATATTGTACACTATATACTTGGCAGCTACATCTCCCTCATGATATCACGCACGGCCTTTGCTGCAAACCGTTTCCTCTCCGCTTCGGGCAACTCGTCGCTGATATCTAATGACCATGTTAGCAAACATCCAACCTCACTTGGAGACAGAAGGAATCATCACTACCCTTGATGGCTCGCATCCGAAGCAACAGCGCCTCGACCGCATCGACGCGCAACTCCTCATCCTCTTCATCGTCATCATCATCAAACCCATCCCCTCCTCCCCGCTCAATCGCCATCCGCAACCCAACCATCTCGCGCTGCAGCTCATCCACCTCCAAATCGAACCCATTGTCCGCATCATCCAAGCCCAAAAGCTCGCGCTCAAGATCATCGTCAATCCCATCATTCAGTAACCCTGTCTCTGCATCCTCCGTCGCAGCCCACTCATGCGTCTCCAAGACCTCTTTAATCCGGCGCATGCCCTGTAGTTCTACACCCATAAGTCAGCATCACCCATCACCACCTATCTCATACCCCCCAGACGAAAGCAAAATGGAATAGTTTAACATACCACCATACCGATTTCTCCCCACCTCCTCCTCTTCTCCCTCCTTCCCACCCCACCTCACAACCTCCATTCCCATCAACCCCATCTCACAGACCTGATCCTCCCACCACCCCTCCGAAAACACCTCATCAATCTCCAACCCCAGCCCATCCTCATCCTCACCCTCACCAGCTACCTTCCCAGAACCTGCTGTCTTCGTCTTCTCCCCCACCAAAACAACCAACCCGGGCACCTCCCCCACCCCACCCCTCTCCTCCTCAATCAACGCCCTCACTTCCCCCACAGCCCTCACGAACTCCTTCAGCCCGCGCACATCAGCCCTATCTTCCACATCATCTTCCTGCTGTGGTTCCTGCCCGGGTACGGGGTCCATCTGCACGGGGTTCCGGAAACAGATCATCACGGCGCCGATAGCGTCCCGCACGACTTGGGCCTCGGGGCTGGAGAACTCGGTTCTCCATTGCGCGGGGGAGATGGTGCTTCCGGATGCTGAGGGGGTTGGTTCGGGGTCTGGAGAGGGATCTCGTCTACCCAGATTGGGATATCGGCTGTGTAGTACTTGTTTGAGAGGTGGAGGGGCGGATGTGTGGTGTAGCCGGCGAATGTGGTGGTGATGGTCGTGTTGGATGCGAGGGAGGTGGTGGATGAGGCGGCGATAGTGGAGGCTGAGGAGAGGGTGGGTGTTGGTGTTGGTGAAGCTGATGCTGGCGCTGTTGGAGGAGTGGTGACGGGGGTGCCTGTTAGGGAGTGTAGGAGAGGAGGGATGATGGATTGGGAGTGTGTGGTTGGGGTGAGGATGAGGAGGCGGCGGGGGTTGGGGATGGGGGTTGGTTTGGAGGTTGATGTTGATGTGGATGTCGTGGGTGGCATTTTCGGTCGTTGATTTGGGAGGGTTTGTTTGAGGTGGGGTATGTGGTGAAGAGTTGCTGTCTATTTATCGTGAAGGGTTAAGAGTTGAGGAGGACAGAGAAAGTTGGACGGGATGCGGGGAGGGCGGCGGAGTAAGCTCGGAGGTGGTTTGGTTAGGAGTGATTGATCTCGTGTTGATATTCCTTACCATGTTTCATGCCCTCTTGCAATACAATTTATGCTTTGGATTATTCACAATGTTGTAATGATGTATTCGAATTTGCTCGTGTCGTTGGTATTGATATTAACCTATCACATCAGCTAGCTAGCTAGCTGTCTATGTATCTCATCACTCCCCAACTACATCCTGAGTACCACCTTACGAACCACCCAGTAGCACTGCCACAATCACATACCCTCCCCCATCAATGCCCTCAAGAAAACGCAAGAACCCAATCAATCTCGATGTATTTAATATGATATCAGACCCGACGACCCAGACAGCCAAGCCAATACGAGACAAGACAAGTTTATAGATACGAAAAGGAGACACACAGAAAGCAACTCGAATAGAACAAAATAAGAACGCCGCACCATCCATCCATCCATCCACTAGTATCCATATCGTTTTTTTAACCCCGTCTCTGTCCTCTCGCCCTCTGCACCGTGGCCTTACCACGAGCAAGACCGACACCGCGACCGCGCTGGCCTCGTGAGCGGAACATGGGAGCGTTCCTATGCGATAGTAGTTAGCATTGCCCATACCCCAATACCCAATAATACATGTAAGAGAAGAGATGGTGGCAGCGAACCTAAGCATATCCGGCACAATGAAGAACTTCACATGGCTTCCCCGAATGTACACCTGGTCGAGATGTGACACGCGGCCGTCGCGCGCGGTGACCGTGATATCCTTCAGTTGGACGTTCATGTTGTCCTCAGCTGTAGCAGAGGAAGTTAGTGATAGCTGTATTTAGAATTGTTGTATTGGAAAGGATGGATAGGTGGTAAAGGAGGCAGAGGAGGCAGAGGAGGAGGAGGAGGGTGTGAACGCACCCTCTAGGAGTTTTCCACGGTAGACAACCCCGGACGTGATCTCAAGTGTGACGACGTGGCCCTATACAAACCCCCCGCTCGCATTAGCTTAATCGCAATACACAGATAACAAGCCAATAGCTTAGAAAAGGAAGGATAGGACCAACCTGCGCCTCATTAAGAAGCTTGATCGGGATACCGATCGTGCTGGTCAACTTGCCCATTGCGGAATGTGAGAGATTCTAGCGAAGCCGTGGAGGGAAAAGAGAATGAAGGTCGGAGAAGATAATATAAAGCAAGCTGAAAAAAAGAAGCTTGACTATTATTCAAAGGCGTGTTAAATCAGTCAAACGAAGACAGAATGGCAAGGGAAGGGAAGGTTGTCTTGTGTGTCTGGCGCGTGCGATCCGCCGGCGGAGAGTTTTGCGGCTCTGCGGTGCGGGAGACTTCTCGGCCAAGACTAGTCTTCTTTCTTCCATCTTATCCTTTTCCTATCATCCATCCATTGCTTCCATTCCAGCAATTAATCTGATACACATTAAGCACCCATTCAACCTTCTCTCACTTCCCACCCCTTAAGCAATAGATCTAGATCTACTATGCATTAAGATCTACAAACCACCACACTCCTCAAATAATACCCCACTAAAACAACACCATCTAACAACACAAACCACCACCTCCCAAATCCTACACCCAAGTCCGCCATGCAACCCCCCAACAGCAACCTCCGCGCCTTCAACCTGGCCGTCTCAACCCTCCTAAAAAACCCCTCCAACTTCCTCCCCCACCTCACCATCCCAACAATCACCCACTTACCCGAAAACCTCGGCCCAGCAGTCCACCCCAACACCCAAAAGCCACCACCCACAATCCGGGCCCTCGTCCTCGACAAAGACAACACACTCTGCCACCCGAAAACCACCTCTTTCCCATCCGAGATCCTTAAAAAGCTGCACGCGCTACGCACCTCTCCAACGTCCCCCTTCACGGCAGATAACTCAATCCTGATTGTCTCGAACCGCGCGGGGAGTCACCCGCGGTATGATGCAGAGGTGCGCGAGCTGGAGAAGGAACTGGGGGAGCTGCGGATTCCGGTGTTTCGGCTTCCCGAGGGGAGCGAGAAAAAGCCGTTTTGTGGGAGGGAGGTGCTGGAGTGGTTCCGGGAAAGGGGGGTGGTGAGTCGCGCGGATGAGATCGCGGTGGTGGGGGATCGGTTGGGGACGGATGTGTTGATGGCGGTGGAGATGGGGTCGTGGAGTGTTTGGTGTCGGGATGGTGTGACTGAGGGGGGCAGGGAGATGAATTTGTTGGAGAAGATGGAGGTTTGGGTTGAGAAGTATTTGAGGGAGTCGAGGGGGTTGAAGGCGCCGGTGCCAAAGGGGTGGCAGGGTCGGTAGGGAGATTTTTTTCATTGGATTATCCGCTTGATTTAGATACGATACCCCTGTATACTACTGTTACTATGTGCGAATCGATAGATTGACACTCTACTATTTTATGAATGTATTCGCTACGAGCAGCGCGTGGGGCAGTTGGTGGTGTTTCATGGTTCAGGTTGGACCTGAGAAATGTCTCCATATCAGCCGTGCGCACAATCCGGACGGAGGTTGTCTCAGCTCCGCCTCGATAGTGGCACCATTATCAATGTGCTACATGACAGGATTGCTTCAAGCAAAATATGCAGACGCCAATCTCAGGACGATAAATAACCATCACAAAGGGAAATGAGCAAACGATTCCTAACCCGCCAACCCAGAAGAATCCAAGAAAATAACCGAATGTCGCCATCTGTCTGACTTTCTGGCATAACCACGTTAAACCCTGACCAGGTATAAACAAAATGAAAAGAAAAATGGTCAGGGCAGAGAAGAAGATGAAAAGCCCAGCTAGCCTGCTGGGAAATGAGAAATGCGAATGAACGCTCAGGACCAGCCCCGGAGAAGGTTATTAATACAGAAGACGCTGAGAACATAATCAAGAAAGGATACATCCTCCCGTCATCGTCGATTGGCCATACATCACGCGGATGTCTGGGTATCTCATCAGTCCGAGTGGAGGTACTCGAGACCAGTGGCCAGGAAAATTCGAAACATTGAAGATGCGGAGATTTGAAGATCCGCGCCAATAGGCGGTGCTACCCAAGGGTAGATAGAGATATGGCTGGGCCGATGGCCGAAGACAGCCAACGTCAATACGGGTCATAGCATGTTCTGGCTTCAGGAGCCAGGGGCCATACCGTTGGGATCAACGTTCTCCAGGCTCAGGCTCTGGAAATCGCCATGGACGCCGGGGGATGTATGGCCGGACATGGGCTGCATGGGTAGATCGTATGTGTTGGTCTCAAGACCCATAGAAGCCGGAACAGCGAAGTTCATGTTATGCTTGGGATAAATCCCATTCATGGACATGCCATCATCCGTGTAGTTGGGCTGATGTTCGTTACCCAGACCGTACATATCTTGGGGAGCGTGCGAGATGTTCGACAATGGAGGAGAATGATTCGCAATCATAGGATCGGCATGACTGACGTTAGAATAAGATGCTTGGGACGCCACGGTTGAGTCAACAGCGGGCGAGACGAAGGGAAGGTTGAAGGGGGTCCCCATGTTGGTAGCAACAGGAGTTGAGTCACCGCCAGCTCCAGTGCTGAAAAGCCCAGGGCTGGCAAAGTCTGATGGGGAAGCTGTCGTGGTAGCAGACATGGGGTGTGTCCGCGGGTCGAACCCATAGGAGGCAGAGGTATCTATCCGAAGGTTGACAGCCAAAGGATGAGTCGACTGGGGAACGGGAGCAAAGATACCCGTATCCGCATGGTTGAACTGAGCCGGAGTCTGGGGCATGTTATAGTGGGCAAGAGGAGCCTGCATGGCAGAGAAGTCGACAGCTACCGGAACTGAGCGACTCCTCTGGCGCTTGTGTCCGCGCATTGCGGGAATGTTCAGGTGAGCATGGCTCTCGGGGAACACGTTCAAGAAGGCCGGAGCGAATTGATTCGGCTGCGATGCAGGACGCTGGATAAATGGAGGGGACATGGGCGGATTCATGGCAAAGTTGTTGTACGCAAGGCGGTTCTGGAAGGATTCCAGGGACACTAGCTTGGCAAGTTGCACGCTGAGAACCTTGGGATGTCCCCCAAGATGGTGGACCAGGATTTGGCTTGCCTGCTGATCCTCGGTAAAGTCACCACACTGGTAGAATCCACCAGAGTTGGAGGAGTCCATGTAGAACAGCGGGGGGCGGTTCAGCTCAACGACAAGACCGCCAGGTCGCGGGGGAGCACCGTTTGCCTGAGGAGTCTGGTCGCCCGACTCCAGTGTGATGTTCTTGATGTAGGCGAACGGGTACTCGATCTTGTATCCAGCAGAATCGTTGTTGATATAGTACGTCATGCAGGCCTTCTCAGGGGAATAGAATACCACCAGATCCATCGCGTTCTGTCCGATACGTCGCCAGCTACCGATAGTCAAGGAACGACAGGTGAAGTGATGAATAACTGTGATCGTCAGTATTCGTGACAAAATAGCAATGGCGGACTCAACGTACCAACTTTGCCAGAAGGAGCCGACTCATGGGGATAAACACCACCGGTTCCGTATCCACCCGTGCGCCCAAAGGGGTCCCTTGCACCGGGCTTAGTGGGGTCGAATTGCATGGCCAGGTACTGGCGCATCGACTCGGGAATAGAATCACAGCCTTCACCCGTTTCGATGCTCTTCTTAGCAAGCATCTTTATTTTTGCGCGTCTACAGATTCGGTTAGCAGCAGGTAAGGAATGATAGTAAGGATCACATACCTGTTTTGGAACCAGATCTGGACGGACCGCTCAGTCATGTTGATTTCTTGGGCAATTCTTTCGCGCGTGGCTGCCGTGGGAGTCGGGTTCTTGTTAAATTCCAATTCGAGGGTGACCAGTTGATCCTGAGTCGCCCGTTGGCGCTTGTTGTTCTTCTGCTGCTGGGTCAGCGTGCTCTTCCGCTGAGGTCGACGTGCCGAAGCGGAGGCGGCCGTGGTGGAATTGGACATGGCCGGGGACGGGCTCGAAGTAGTCGACGAAGACGAAGTCATGGTAGAAGCGGTGTTGGAGGAAGAGTTCGACGTGGTCGAAGGGTCAGGAGTGTCTGTCGAAGACATGTTTGCAGGGATTGAGTGAAGTTGAATGGTAGGAAATGCGATACGACCAAGTTCGTAGAAAGGAGATTCCGTGGAAGGAAAAAGAGTATGGGTGGTGTGACGATCCGGCCGACAGTCAATGAGGATTGGGGAGGGGAGTTTCCGGATCTCTGAAGCAGCGTCAAGCGCCAGAGAATGCGGGTAATGTCAAACGAATGGAAGCGCTTTGGCTGGAAACACGTCGAGAGTCGAGAGTTCCGATGAAGCAAAGCGCAAGAGAGAAGATGAGCGCGTCGCAGAAGCGTCGGGATGAGAGGGCAATCAAATGTCGTGGGAATAATATAAACAGCTGACCTAGGCAGCTTGAAAGGGAAATATGATCCTTGCTCTTCGCAACCGTAATGGGGGAGGCTGTACGTGAGATTGAGATATCAAAAGTAGATCGGTACAGATTCGGAGGGGGGGGCCGGTGTTTGGTAATGGCGAAGGTCTGCGTCAATGGGCGGCCCTGAGGTAAGCGAAGATACAGCTAGATTGAGAAATAGATCGTGAAAGAGTGAAACGATCGACTGAAGCGAGCGAATGTAGTTGAAAGAAAGAATGGAAGGGTTGAAAAACACAAAAAAGAGTGAATGGGAAAGGAAAGAAAGATGCGAAGATGGTCGGTGGGAAGGAAGGGAAAGGGAGGAAAGAAGAAGAAGGGAAGAAGAAGAGACAAACGGGTGGAGGAGGCAGAGGAGAAAGCGAGCGAGCGCGACGGTCAGGAGATGGGATGGGGGAGGGCCCAAAGTGGTTAGCGGGTTCAGTAGTTGGCGCTGGACTGTTTTGGCACCGGCTGTTCCTGACTTTCTCCGTGGGGCTGGCCGCCTCTCTTTTTTCCTTTTTATTTTTTTCTGCCCTTTTACTCCCTTTTCCTTTTTCCTATTATTTCCTTTTCGGATTATTTGTTTCTTGTATTATTAATGATCGATTTATTTTTCCTGGTATAGAATTTTTTTGGCGAGGCAGCTCCAACAAGTAGTAGTCGTAGTTGTGAGTCAAGGAGTAAGTAATCACCGTAGCTCAGTTCACTCAGGGCATTGAAAGTCAATACTCTTTTCCCTTTTTCACTAAATCCACATCTCTCAGGATCACCAAATACTTTGAGTATTTATTCTCCCACGATCTAGACATTGTTGATCGAAATGAGACTGCTATGGTCACGATATGCTGCTGCTACTACTCCATCCGGAGGGGATAAAACATCTGGGTTGTTACAGAATTTCACATGGCTTGATGCAGGACCAGAATGTTACAAGACCACCACCGCCCTCCACCCACACCCACCGCCTTGTTTTAGCCCCTGCATCCAGTCGCGGCATCTGCACCTGCTGCCCGACGTTGTTGTTTGGGATTCCAGCCATCCAATAAGCATTCTCTTCCGTGCTTTTCTGCATGGATGTGGACGTTGAAGACTGCGACCTCAGGATGGTTTAGGTTATGCTCGTACTTTCCCCCTCCCCAGTCAGTCACTCTGCGTCGCTCCAGCAGAAGATACCCAGCATAGGAAACTCGGAACCGTATGCCTAAGCAAGGCAACGACCAACTCAGCCGAATCGGAGCATCATCCCCTTCGACCATCTATACCTAGCCATAAATAGCTACCATGCTCGCGATCCCAGTCATTTCTAGATGCAATCATGTAGGGACCAGCAACTAAGTCATGTATTGTCTACTCCGTACCTCCATGCCTCCAGAAACATCGTGCAGGCGAACCCACCGAGCGATCGGACTACGGATACAACCAGGGGTAGCGAACCAGACACAACGTGACCTGGACCGTTCCAAAGCCCGGACGGGATCGCATAAGCGCCCCACGATTGACAAGCTACAAAAGGGTTTCAGGTGGTGGAGTGACCTCATAATTTTGCCGATTCAGGACCGGAAAGCAAAGCGAAAAGAAAAAAAAATCAAGGAAAGGGAAGAGGGAAGGGAAAAAAAAAAGAAAAGAGGACAAAAAAGAGGCGGAGCCAAGAAACCTACCCCAAGAAGCGACCTGCCATTCGACCCGGTTCCTGAATCGAACCGCAGAACCAGGGCCGTGGTTCCGTCACCGGGCACCGCATCACCATGGGCGGGAAAGGGGACACTTCTGATTCCTGACTAATTGATTGCTTCACCCATAACAACTTCAGGATTGGAACCATGGATGGCGAACCGCACAATTCAGGGAGCAAGTGAGAAGAGGTTGGCGCTGGTGGGAGACTTGGTAAGGGCAGTTCGGGCCTCTCCGGCCATTGTCCACAGAAAGAGGATCAGGGACTTTACCGCTTCCAGCAGGTGACTGACCTCATTTTGCCTTTCTGGCCAGCCGTATGAGTGGCCTCCCACTCTTACACCCTCTCAGGTACAACCGTAATCCCGGAGCTGTCGACGTGCTGGGTTTCTAATAATATCCTTTGGCCTCGATTTTATTCCGTATTTACTTTGATCCCCCTCGCTTTTCCACCCATATTTCTGTCGTTCAGCGCAAATCACTCACTGATCTTTGGCGCTGCACTCCGCCCGTGCCGACTACTCCCACCATTATCCCTGGTGATTCGGTCCAGGTACCCGCCCCTCTCGCCATCACATAAGTCCTGATTGGACCACTGCGGATGACAGCGCTAGGGGGGGGGGGGGTGGGTGGAGAAGCGTTGTTCGGCACTCGTGCTGACTTGTACAGACTACAGACTACTGAGGCGGTTAGTCGGGGGCTAGTCTTCCATCTGGATTCTATCGCCGAATCTATTAATTTATAAATTAATTAATCGCTGGCACCTTCCTACGAACACATGAACGGGTGCTATTAATACGGTAGGGCAAGACAAATCCGGGGATAGTGAAAGCCGAGAGAAAAAAAATAAAAGAGAGAGACAAGCATGCTTCTGGAGGTTGAAGACGGAGTATAATTTCTTTTTTCCATCTTACCACATTGATCGACTGGATACCGTATATGCAGGTACACACAGCGT